GGGGGGGGGAAGGGGGGAATAGATATGATGCAGGCCCAAAGGAAAGGAGAAACAAGTTCAGATAGCGGCACAGAGAGAGAGAAAGCGAGAAAGAGAGCGAGCAACGGCCGACAAGCTCGGGAGTTAAGGGAAAAAGGTGAGGATAGGAAAGGACAGTAAGTTAGCAGAGAACGTTATAACTAAGATGGGGATTGTGATTAGTCGAGCCGAATGGGGCACAGCCAAACTGCCAGGCTTGCCTCCCGGTCGCCTCAGGCTGTCCAGTCCTCCGACCGCCCAATCACACGTGCCTGCGCCCACCACCTCAGGCACAAAGTCAATGTCAACGCAATACTTTAATCAATCTCGCCCTTTTTTGTCTCGTCTAGTCTACTAACCTTACTGTTCAGCTGCGGAGTGTAAATTGGCCCACGCAAGCATCCGTGGTCGTCCTGAACTTTGAACGTGGCAATCAATTTCGTTTCTGCCTGAATATCGCCACCCCCGTCGGCCGATGGTTCCCCGATCTATTGACCTCAGCTCGGGGGTGAACCTAACCAAAGTACGGGTCCCATTCCTCGGCTGGGTCCAAAAGAGAAATCGTAAGCTGATCTCTCAATCCCGGAGATATTAACAAATAGTCATAATACCCTCAACATTAGCCCGGGATGCCAGGATCAGATATTGTGGCTTATGACATATGAAGCAGCTCGTTTACACCCGCGCCCTCCCCCCCCTGTGTAACAGTGGTTCCCTCACCCTCTTATCACAGCCACCATTGAGGACTGCGAGGATCTTTGCCTGTTAACTAGCTACCCAATGCACACGGGATTTGGGTAATCCATCAGTCCAAAGCCCGAAATCGTTTTCAGCGACCAAATTATGGCTAACGGCCGGTGATAAGAAGCCCGAGATCCATGGGGAACGGTTTTGGTCGGCAGTAGTAGACATCATCAGTGGGTGTACAACGCCCTATCGGAGGTGTTCCCAATCTCCAGGTGAGGATCGGATGGGGCCTGTCCTCGGCGGGAGCCACTCGCAATAACTGGCGTGATTGTGTCACCGCACTGATTGCAGCATATCCTAAGTAATAGCCACAAGTTGATCAGTCAACCATTTTTCTCATTCCTCGGCCCTGGACGTTTTTTTTGCCTCTGTCTTATCAGGGTTTCCCCCGGTCTTGGCGACATATAGAAGCTCTCATTGTCGGGCTCGCACCCGACTTCCTTCCCTGTCCAACAATCTCGGCAACCTTGTGATTGAATCGATGCCGCAAAGCATCCATCCCAAACTCTAGGAGTGGATCCTTGCTTCTACCTCACAGTCCCGATATGTTGTGTTTGATGCCAAGCGTACGCTATCGTGCACTTACCAGGGTGGATCTGCTGGCTTGGGATGACTGCGGGACATACTACGAATACTATCTAATTGGTACTCTGTATTGGGTGGCCGGCTTCGAGCTAGGTCTCCTGTGTACGGATAGTAAGGCAACAAAAGACGAAGAAGGTACCGTTTCACCATGATACTTTAGTAGTCCTAGTCATCCTGCAATGATGAGGAAAGGAAAATGATAATAATAATATCTAATAAATCAATAAAAAGCAGCAAATCTGCCCCAGACTCTATTAATAACTAATCTGGACTACTGTAGAGTTTAAGCAAGATAGGCCTAACATCGACCTTGAGCCTGAAGCCAATGCAGCAGCTAGCGGTGTCGATCCTCGGCAGCGGCGGGCAGTGTCCAAGTGGGGGAGGGAGAGAGTTGGCGCAATGTCGCATTGAAGGAATGAGACTCACACCACTTGCATTCCTTGTGGCTCCGGACATCTGGGGAAGTGGCAAGGTTTCGTGGAGATCGAACCACTTGTTTCAGGTTCTCACAAAAGATTATTGCGAAACACATAAGGTTTCCATTTCTTGAATGGAAACGGAAATCCGAATTGGCAGGATAAGAAGGAGGAAAGACGCGCGGAAGACGGCGTGATATCAGCTTGCATTATCATTGGCCGCCGATCATGACATAACTGCTGTGGGAAGTTTCATCATCATGAGTTGCTTTGCTTGAACATGTCTCGTCGGATATTCACGATGTGGCAGAGTAATGAACAAGAAGGGATATACCAAATAGACCAGTCAGCTTTACAATCTACATGCATGTGTTATATGGTTCTACCTGCAAGTATTTCTTGGTCTTGTAAGACTAGGTGGCTGTACTGTAGTCGTGTAGTCAGTCAGTAGTTACACCACTGCCCCCGACTACTCCCCACTATGGCCACCCAACTCGCAGGAAAGTTAGCAAGACGTCCATTTCTTCTCCTTACTGAGAAGGGGTTTCATTCGGCTTCTAGTAGGAATTCTCGCCAAGAGAATGTCTTATCTCTCTTCTACCGCTGAAGGGGTTCAGGTTGTCGCTGCTCGGGTCACACTGCCAAGCATCTTGAAGGGCAGGGGGAGTTGAGGAGCTCTCTCTCCTGGTTATCTGGTGGAGATTCTGCCGTCACCCGTCGGGAGGGACAAAAGTACCAGCCGTTATATGAGATTAATGAACGATTTCGGAGAGCTTACTTTTCGCTGGTTTCAGGTTTACTCCCTCTCTCCATGAATGGTACCTATATAAGATGAGCTCTCTTCCCAACTTCCCATAGAACTATAGTAGTAGTACTACTTCTCTCATACAGAATCTAGTGTACTTAAAAAGGTCCCTAGTGGAAGGCCCCAAGCCTTGGCGGGTCTGGGCACAGCGCGAAACTGGGCTGGGCGTTCGCCTACAGACGGCTCTGATTGGCCAGATGGGACCCTCCCGGGTTCAGCGAGTCCGGGAAAGCCTGACGATGATGTTTTGGGATTCCTCGTCGAAGATTTGAACAGACAAAAGGCAAGACAAGTCAAAGCCTCACCGACACGAACAGCTTGAGTATTAAACCCATCGGCGTCCCGCTTCACTCATTGGAGTCTAGTTATCTATCTATATCTAAGTTGACCCCATCTCGGACTTGGTTGCTACTGTTAGTGGATTTAGAAGTGTCTGTTCTGGTCCCCTAGTCCTGTAGCTACGCATTAGGTTGAACTGTTTGAATCCAATCGTGCTTCCGTGCAGTGCCAACTCTAAATCCTATTCGCCTACCGCCTGCCTACCTCTGTTATCTATCGGCGTCATCATCTTCGACGGCAGTATCGCCATCGCCTCTGCTCTCTTTCTGCCCATCAGGACCTTGTGGTTGCTCCCCCCGTTCGCGTCGTCATCCGCCATCATCCAAACTTTCCCTTTCCCTCCCCCTTCTTCCATCTTTCTTTCCCCAGCTTTTCCTAGAGTTGGTTGCCTGTGATCTCTCTGTCACCCTGGCTGCCTCGTGCTTCCGACCTCTTGTCGATGGCCATTTTTACTGCCCCTAGATCTCTTCAAAATGCCTACCCGTCAATTTCGTCTCAGTTCATGACCCAGATGGGCGCCAATCCTGCCCTCCTTCAAGATGGCAACCCCCACTCGAGCCACCCCTCCTTCCTGAACCTCGTCCTCTTGGTCTTCGAAGCCGTCCTCGAGGTCATCTGCGTGAGTCTGCCGGGTTATTTTGCTGCCAAACAAGGCATGTTCGATGCGGATGCCCAGAAGCTGGTAGCGAATCTCAACGTCACTTTATTTACTCCCTGCCTGAGTAAGTTCCCTGCTTTCTTTGGCCGTACTTTTGGCATCTCAACTGACCACAACTGTTAGTCTTCACAAAGCTCGGGTCCCAGCTCACAGCAGAAAAACTCACCGATCTGGCTATTATTCCGGCCATCTTCGTTATCCAAACTCTGGTCTCTTATTCCTGCGCCTTTGTTGTTTCGCGATGTCTCCGGCTCAAGAAACGACCTTCCAACTTTGTCGCCGCCATGGCGGTAAGTGCAGTGTCCAATACTTTCCACATTTTTTCCTTCCCTGTCTGTTCACTGACACGTGAAACAATGCTCCTAGGTTTTCGGAAATTCTAATTCGCTCCCCATCTCCCTCGTCATGTCTCTGTCACAAACTCTCAAGGGTCTTCACTGGAGTCGCGTCCCGAACGATAACGATGATGAAGTAGCAGCGCGTGGTATTTTATATCTGCTCATCTTCCAGCAGCTTGGCCAGCTTGTGCGGTGGAGCTGGGGCTACCACGTGCTTCTTGCCCCCCGTGAGCGTTACTTGGAAGAGGCGGAAGCGGATCCGGATACCACTCGCATTGGACAGGGCCAGGAGCGATACACGGACAACCCGGAGCAAATTGATCCAGATGAGCCGTTGGTGAGAACCAGAAGCTTCGATGAACAGACGCAAGCATCTGGAGCATCGCAGGAGGACTCGGATGCGTTCGCTTCAGGTCAAGAAACACCCGTGACCGCACGGGACTATCCCTACTCCAAGGTGTCGTCCCGTAGCGGTGGCGAGGAAGATTCCGACCGTCCGGCCCTGCTTGATGCTTCCGCTGCGCCGTTCATGCCCCGACAAAGCTCCGCCGGCGATATGCTATCATTCCCCGCTGTACACGAGAGCTACGAGAAGAAGGGCTTGATTGCCCGCATCAAGGCGTCCCTTCGTCGGCTCCGTGGTCGCATCGCCAGTGGATGGGAGAAGGGGACTGGAGCCGTGTTCCGCTGGTTGCCAACGAGGATGCAGAAGGTGCTCTCCGTCTGCTCCAGCTGGATCAGGAGGTTCTTCCATGGGTTATGGGAGTTCATGAACCCGCCCTTGTGGGCCATGCTTGTCTCGATCGTGGTTGCCTCGGTACCATCGCTGCAAAACTTGTTCTTCGATGAGGGCACCTTTGTGAGCAATTCAGTGACTCGAGCGATCAACCAGAATGGCCAGGTTGCTGTGCCGTTGATCCTCGTCGTTCTGGGGGCCAATCTTGAACGCAACACGCTTCCTAAAGAGGCGCTGGAAGATATGGAGCATCCCAAGGAAGAGAAGAAGTTGATCGTCGCTTCTCTGGTGGCCCGCATGCTTCTCCCTACCATCATCATGGCTCCTATCCTTGCGTTGCTGGCCAAGTATGTGCCGGTCAGCATTTTGGACGATCCGATCTTTATTATCGTCTGCTTCCTCCTGACTGGAGCTCCGTCAGCACTTCAGCTGGCCCAGATTTGCCAGATCAACAATGTCTACGTCAGCGCCATGTCGAAGCTCTTGTTCCAGAGCTATGTGGTGTGGTAAGTAAACCCAAGCTCGTTGCATCCTTGAATCAACCACTAATAGTGCCTCTAGGATCCTCCCGTCCACTCTTATCCTCGTCATGTGTGCTCTGGAGGTTGTTGAATGGGCGTCTGCCTCCTAATATTTGAAATGCATTTTGTTCAGCTGCATCGGGCTTATATTATTATGGCGTGATTCGGCGTTTGAGTGTTCTTTCTACTTTTCCTTCTTCCTTTTCTATTGTATTGTTGACAGCAGTATGGATTGGCATGGATGGGAAAGATACCAGATTGGAACGGCCTAATATGGCTGTACCCGATATGTTAGCCTAACAATGATGATTTCGAGATACCTAGCACGTACCTAATTTCGTTCCTACATATAAGAATCTCAGAGAGCCACCAGATCCTGAAGAGCAAGAAAACGATATAGTTGAATACCAACGACCATCCCCCTGACTCGCAAAGCAAAAGCGCCACCACAACCACCTTATCTACCCCTCCCCTCCCCCGTACCCTCCTAACAGGACCCCAACGCAAGGGGGTGTAATCAATGCAAATCCAGTAAGAGACGCGGGGCATTTCATTTTCACCATACATTTATTGTTCCCTACAACATAGCACGTAGTAGAGTGTATCACCTGCCCCAGGTTAAAGTTCACGGTTCGCATGCAGCGTGACTCTTTGGGAGAAGTTGCGCTTACCGCTTATTGGTTTAGATATTACGTAGTTGCTGCATTCTGAATATAAGACATGACGCTACACGGCGTCGGCGAGGGGCTGGTTACTTAGTAGTAAGTAGTACTTTGTGGTTCTACGTGTATGGCTGATTGGTCTGTCGGATGGTTAGTTGGCATGCATGTAGTAGTAGATAGGATTGAGTTACTCTAATATAGTAGGACTATATTCAGGGTTTCCAGATAATATTAGAATATGTATGATATTATCCTTTGATGTTCTTTGGCGATTTGTGGCGGCATGATATCATAATATTGCTTTGAATCAAGGTCAGGGCGAGGTCGCGTGAGATGTTGTTGTTATTGTGGTGTTGTTGTTTGTTCATTGTTGATCATGTGGAGTATATTTGGCTGTACATATTATGTGAATTATATATTATAAGACTGTTCATTATACCCTTATCAATTAATTTGACTTTCAATATTATCACTATCCATCGGAGTATTAACGAGATCTACATCTGCTTCCTGTGCGCTTTATATCATAGTGACAGAATGCGTTTCGGACGACTGTGGCGTCAAGGGAACAGGTTATGCCATCTGAATGCGGAGCAAAAAAACCTGCTGATTATCGAAATCAAGGACGTCGATGTGGGAAGAAGGTACATCCAGTATGTATATGGAACGGGAAGAAAAAAAGGAATGCAAAAAAGGTCGTGCCCGGGATCGAACCGGGATTGCTGGAATCAGAATCCAGAGTGATGACCATTACACTACACAACCGTATTTGTCGAAATACATGACATGCTTTTGTTACATAAGGCTAAGTAAAGAAGGGTAAGATCGTCTACGGGCAATAGGCTGGTGCAGGTGAATAATGTTTGCCATTCATTCGATTATGTTTTACATGTAGATATTTAACACAGCCGTCTCATTACATCTGCAATAGCATGGCCATTCCGCTCGCTTGGTGCCAGATAATATGGCAATGAAATAACCATATCCCTGGGTTATCTGCTCGGAAGCGCAAGATTGCGTGCCCGCGGCTGGGGATATAGACTGTGTCTCGTAGCTGCGCGCGGGAGAGATCGTAGGGAGTATCTGCTCTTGATGAGCTGACAGATTCTGGAGCCAGACCAGGTGGGTAGGCATCTGTGAAAGGATTGTAGGCGCCCCAGCCTACGGGTGCTTGGTAGGTCCTCAGGATGTAGAAGTGGTGGCCGTGCTGTTTAATGTTAGTTTTGTTGAGTACACCGGCTTGACAACAAGTAGGGACATACCAGGTGAAATGGATGGCCACTATCGTCTAGATTGTTGACTATCAGGTCAATCCATAAGTCCTGGTCTTTATCGGACGGCAGAGCACGGGAAGTAGATGATCCTGTTGATAACACGAGCTGGTTTCCATCCCATTTGTCGCGAGGAAGATCAATAAGTGGTGTATCAATCTGAGGCTTCCATGAAGTCCGGTTGAAGAATCCATACGGCACATTGTGGTTTATGGAGAGCTTTTCGATTTTACTGTACACCACGTGGGTTTGATGTGCTTTTTCGGGAAGGCTGGAGAGGAGTGACTTTCTAGTGGCGACTTCGGAAAGAGATATCGTGTTATTTGATGGAGATATGGTGGAGGATGTGTTGTCCGATGACTTCGTTATATTGAATGTCTGGATAGATGCTAAAGCTGGGTTGGGGTACCTGAAGCATCTAACCGTCTGTTAGCGCAACCTGAACCATGGTACAGGCCAAAACGTACTCTTTATCTAGATCAATAGTCATTGAGCTTGGAGTTTTGTCTGGACCCGGACGGAGTATAATGTCCATTCGCTGGCCCGGGTAGAGTACGCCGGCTGAATTTGAATCTTCTTGTTCGACCTCAATGCTGTCCACTTGTATGAGACTGAATTCTTTGTTCTGAAAACCCAACGTAAAGCCTGCAACCGAGCTATTTGCCAGTCAGCTATTACTTTTGAGATATAAGTAGGCGTACAACTTACCCCGTATTTACCACTCGGACTCTGTACGCTGCGTCACCCTTCGCATCCAGGTATGAGAGGTTCATCTGTCGAAAAATACAGTCCACCGGCCGTGCTGGGACAGCCATGGAGCAATCGAAATGGCCCACACCGTTTATCAGTAATGAATCTGGGACAGGCTGTTTCGGGTTAATTGTCGTATTCAATGTGATGCTATGCGGGGACCAACCTCGTTTCCAAATGACCCGGCACGCATATACCAGGAGTAGACCTGGTCCGCTGATCGGTGATACCAATCCCCAATTAAGAGTAGAATGTCCCTATCATAGCTGGCAGTTCCTTTTTCATCTGCACGAGCCAATAGCCCCCGCACCGTGGGCTTAGGGGAGGGCTCGTGCACGATGAGCCCCCCATATAGGCCATCGGCCCTGATAAGGCCGGAGTGAGCGTGGTACCAGAATGTACCGCTTTGATGTGCGGGAATCGTGAAGTTGTAGGTAAACGTGGACCCTGGAGGGATAGGGCATTGTGTTACACCAACTGCTCCATCCATAGCATCTGAATGACTTGTTAGTCAAATAAACCAGCTTATATCCAAAAACTAGGACTCACTCTCGATATGAATTCCATGCCAATGGATGGAGATCGGTTCGTCTTCCAAAGAATTGGTCACGTTTACTATCAAGCGGTCACCAGGTCGTGCCTCAACCGTCGGTCCAGGAAAGAGACCTAATGCACATAAGTATGTGGCTCGATATGATTATGAAAAGAGAAGTTACCATTGATCAGATAAATCCATTTCAGCACCCCATCCGGGCGTCGATGGTTGGCAGTCACCACCCAGTCGAAATGTTGCGTTGCAGGATCGCGGTACACATGATTTTCCGGTTGAAGCTCTATCAAAGGACGTGATGTATCGGGGTCATGTGTAACTGGGTGTACCTGGCTGTTCGAGACTCCCGATGGGATCAAGTCTTGTAGAGGGCTTGGTTGTGAGATCTGTGTCAAGAATAGCAGAAAGATCAGGCCACATATAGTGGCCGGATACAATACAATACTCCATGGCAACAGTCGTAATCGGAACGACGGTGACTGCTGCATGTCTAATTCAATACTTCCCTCTCCTTTCATCTCCTGACAGTCTTGTAAGGTGGTCTGGATTGTCGCACGTCTCCTGCATGCTTGTTCGACCCTCATGTGCCTTTAAACCCCGACAATGACTATGAGCCATTTTGAATACATGTGGGGCCAGAAAGAAAACAGTGGCTAAACTGCAGATTACATGTACCTGTCAGCATGAACAGAACGAGTAACGATGTTCAGGTCCGCCACTGACGGATGTTTTGAAACAAGATTCAACCAAGGTTCGGCCAAACAGATGGCTGTTGTATGGACTGCCACGCTGTCTGCTGCTGGCTTTGCAAACTCAATTTGGACTCAAAGTTGGTTCCTGTTCAGTGGATTCAGGTACAATGCCGATACCCAGGGCCATGCCGGTGTCGAAAATAGCCGGTAGAGAGACTGTTGCCATTGTGGATATATCAAAAAGGTCCACCGTGAGGACCGCCACCGTTAAAAACACCGCTGACTGATCATCGAAGAAAACTTAGTTACTGAGAGTCCAGAAGGCGAGAGCAGAGGGTGGGAAGTCAATAAAATTGTGTCTGAGCAGAAAAGCCAGTCGGACTGATTGCCGTTCAATACACGTGCCCGGATGCCGGCTAACCCGATTTCCTTCCATGGAGGCCCATCTTCCGCTTAGTCCTCTGTCTTTGGACGTTTTCTTGTAAGCAGATGTCATATATCTTCTGAAACATACATCTCCATCCAAAGTGGATCATACATTACCCACCGTACAGGACGATCGCCCTTCGCTCTAGCGTGGCCTAAATAATGGCTCGTCGAATCCGATCTGCAATAACAAACACCGTTCCATATTACGACCCAGTCTGGCAGATGTATTCGCGACCCAAACATTCGGCATACTATGAATGCGTCGGGGATCATGGGATATCAATTGCCCGGTGTTGTGATCTTGTCGGAATCTAGACCAGGCACAGTCCCCACATTCGCTCAAGATTTTCCAGATATATAAAGCAGCTCGAAGGCATCTGAAACCACATCATACAACACTTTCAAGAGTAGCTGCTTCAGGATGTTATTGCTTGGTTCGACTGCCTTGGCTCTGCTCCTCGGGAGCAGATCAGTTTCTGCCGGTTCACTGAAGGACATCAAGCATGTTGTGATCTTTATGCAGGAGAACCGATCATGGAATAGTGCAAGTATATCTAAGCTCCTCAATTCCAGGAAACTCAACTAACCATGTACAGTATTTCGGCACAATGGCAGGCGTACGGGGATTCAATGACCCAAACGTGCAGATCAATCCAGACGGATTACCTGTTTGGTACCAGTCAGTTTGCTTTGGTGTTTTTTTCAAAGGTCCTGTGCTGATAAGAACTTCAGACAAGTCGATCCTGATATGTCCAATGCTACAACGACTCTCCTCCCTTGGTATTTAGGTTATAAAGGAGGGAACACGACGGATGCGATCCAGTGCATGGCAGCGGGAGATAACGGTTACGAGGATAGCCATGCTTCGCTCAACGGAGGACTGAACAATCACTGGGCCAGGAATAACACGCCTTGGAGTTGGGGATATTTTAAGAGAGACGATATCCCTGTTCATTATGCTATTGCAGAGGGTTGGACGACCGGTGATATGTATCAAGTATGTTTCTGCTATCACACTGTCAAAGCTATGTCTAATACTCTACAGGAGTCCCAAGTCACCTCTACCAACCCGAACCGGGTTACTCTCGTTAGCGGCTCCGTGAACGTGCCTGGCGGCCCTCAAAAGCCTGATCAAGGCGGCGTTTATATCGACAACAACGTAACACCTGGTACGTCTGCTCCAGCTACTCATACACTATATTATGCCGTTCGAACTTGGCTGACTTGTGACTTCTAGGGTGCGATAGCTATCATATCAATTGCTATCCCCTCAAGTGGAAAACGATCTTTGAAGTCTATGAAGAGGCAGGCGTCTCCTGGCAGGTATACCAGGATAAAGACAACTTTGACGACAACCCCTTGGCCCGGTTTGAGCAGTACCAGAACGCTTCATCGTCGTCACCGCTCGTAGAGAAAGGCATGGCGTTTTTGGGATTGGAAACATTTTACGAAGCGGCTGCCAACGGGACCCTCCCGGAGATCAGCTTTATTGTCGGGCCCGCGGAATTGTCAGAGCACCCGCCCTATATGCCCAAGGACGGTGCCTGGCTACAGAAGAAGGTTGTGGATGCTGTGACAAGTAGTCCTGAATATTCATCCACGCTGCTAATGATAAGCTACGACGGTAAGCCACTCCTAACCAGCCCCTCGTTGAGCGAATTTAACGATTCGATAGAATCTGGTGGTTACGGAGACCATGTCATTCCTTTCCACTCACCAGAAGGTACACCGGGTGAGTGGATGGAGGATCCTTATGGCGTATTTGGAAAACTATATGTTGGTCCTGGTAAGTCCAGCCATCATCTCATGTCACATCACTCAAGCTGACTTGTCAGGTCTTCGGGTGCCTTTCTATATGGTCTCCCCATGGACCCGTGGCAACCGTGTTTTCACTGAGAGGGCGGATCATAACTCCCAGATTCTATTCTTGGAGCAGTGGCTTACGGCAAGGGGCTATGAGAATGTGCAGACTCCAGAAATGGTCCACTGGCGTCGGGAACACATGTCCAACCTCGTCAATGCACTGGATCTAGACCATGTACGGCAAACCTTTTACATTCTCTACGTGATATCGAGCTAACTCGTGAAAAAGCCCGACATTAGTCTTCCAAAATTGCCAGAAGCTGAAGAGCCTGAGATGTCTTCAGGTTCTTACGTCGGCACATCCAATTGCGAAGCAACCTTTCCAGAGCCCCGTCCTCCTGTGCCATACGGGAAGCAGAATGTGACAGAGTCATTGTTCTTTGAGGACGGATACAAAGAGGTTGTCGGCTACCTGACTGAGGGACGGTACCTTGTTTTCGAGAAGTCTGGGTATGCGCTTACCAATACCGGAAACACAACCAGATTAAGCAGCAGCGCAGCGCGTTCAGATCACAGTGATAAGAAGCAACGATGGGTCATCCATTATTCCAGCGGCGAAGAGAGCCAGATTTTCAAAATCTCCAGTGCCCTGGACGGTAAGTGGCTTGGTCCACACGGAAGTTTGCTGCCAGCTGGTCGCCGAGGCGATGCTGCAGAAGTGAAGATCACCTTCCTTGGGAATGGTCACGGATATGGTCTGCAGTATGTCAACTCAACTGTAATCAAAATGAGCGGCCAAGGAGATTTGCAGATGAACTCTACAAAACACTCCCAGGATGGCTACAAGGTGTGGAGTGTCACCTACCACTAAGAAGTGGCTACGGACTCGAGACCGGGCAGAAGGTTACAAATTTATCGATGATTGGAACTAGTTTTCCGCAAGAGTAGCTGGCTTACTACCATTGCATTATTTACATAGCGACATTATAGAATAGTTATATAGACGTGCTGACTCAAATACAAGGGGCTTGAAAATATTCTCATCATTGGACGGATGGACCACTAGTAGTAGCGCGTAGCTTTCTCCAGATCCGACGTTGATTGAGTCAGACATCCCCGCACCTGAAAGCAATGCATTCTGATCATCTCTGTACAAAGTAAGAAAAAAGATATTCACTACTTGAGTAGTTACTAAATATATTGGTGCACAGATAACTTGCTTACAAGAACTAACGACATCGAATTAAGGAACTGGACACAAAATGTCTATCAATATTCGACAAGCAACGCCCGCCGACCAACACGCCATCGACGCAATCATACAAGAAGCCTTCTCTATCTACATCGGTCGCATAGGAAGGAAGCCACAGCCGATGCTAGACGACTACACCACACTGATCAAAGACGGAGTCGTCTATGTGATCGAGGGTGATGGTGAAATAAAAGGCACCGTCATGCTTGTTCCTCAGGAGGGCGCCATGATTGTGGATAATTTAGCCGTTGCTCAGTCTGCACGGGGCACTGGGCTGGGTCGCAAGCTATTGGAATTTGCTGATGAGTCGGCTCGGTTGGCAGGCTATCAGACTCTCCAGCTGCATACTAATGAGACCATGGTTGAGAATATTGCCATATATACCCGAATGGGGTATGCGGAGACACATCGTGCGGATAATAAGGGGTGGAAGCGGGTTTATATGGCTAAGAATTTGGATTGATGGGCTAACTTTGAGATGGCTATCTTTGTTAATCATGAAGAGAGTTTATTTAGATAGTCTGAATGATGCAGATAGTGTATAAGCTGGCTAAGAATCTTATCTGTGACCGGTGTCTGTCAGGTAGCGCGTCCACTGTGAGTCTTGACCTTACGGCCTTGAAAATGCGATCAAAATTGACAATAGCATTTTAGCAAGAATGAAAGTTGACTGAACATTGTAGCAAACACTATGAAGTGCGAGATATCATTGGATCAAAATGACGAGATCGCGCTGGAATTAGGCTGGCCTGCAGTAATGCCTGAAAAGACGGGCAGCAAGGAATACATTCCGGAGATGTGGCTTATTTCCCCTCCTCGCCAGCCCCTCTTTCTTCTCTTCTTCTTTCTTTCACTTTCCTGCCGAGACAATAAGAGTGAACGGAACCATGACAAGTGAAGCAAAGAATGCCCGTTGCGACTACGTTTTCAAGTATGAAACTCATAGAGTGACCCTGCGCGACAAAATCTTATCTCGGCCCAATAACAGTGACAACAATTGAGGATTATGGATGGAGACACCACCATGTGGGCCTCTACCGTTGACCGTTTGTACGAAGTAAAGCAAACAAATGCTTCTTCCTGTGTCAAAATGGGCTATCTACCTTCCAATCTAAGTGGACACGCTCAAGGCCTCTCCCCCAACGCGACTCAATACAGCGTGCCTGATCTACACCCAGATTGATGGAACGATGCCGGTCTTTTCTACGGAGTATAAGCACAAGCGTCTACATATGCTGTTCACGCTCACCAGGCCGGCCGGACCATTCATCCCGAGGTTGCGGTCAGGTTGCTCGCTGCTTATCTCCCCCGGTGTGCAAGTGAGTGACAACGTCTCGGTCCCCGGTCGCGACCCAAACTTTGGTCCAAACAATGCCTCGGGATTGGTCCTAGTCGAGTAAGGCCAGGAGGTGGGCAAACAGCAGTGTGTCGTGTGCCACTGGACTAAGCTACCATATTCACTGTCCACATACGAGGTGTCCCCTTAGCAGCCTGCGTCTGTGGCGTTTCTGGCCGAGCAACACTGAGGCAACATGGTACCTTTTTGTTAAACGATTAAATCATAGCAGCAGACCCTGGATGTGGATTTGACGGGTGGAAACTGCCAAGTCACCTGAGACACACGTTGATTCCCGTTCCTCGATGCTCCATCAATTTCCACCTTCGCGGCTCAACCTCCACGATCGTTCTTTTTTTCAAACAAGCCACACCGTCCTTCGCCACTCAGCCATCTGTCGTCAATCGTCGTCCGCTTTGACCGTCACCACGTTTGCTGTCCATTCAAGTTTCTCTGAAATTGCTCGGCTTTGACGTCTCATCCATTGCGAATTTTCAATCTTTGCTTCTTAAAAGAAAGTGACAAGCGGGATCGGATTCCGACCGTATTTTCTCTTTGCTGGACCGCTACTTATCGCTGTCCCCACTTGGTCGCATTTTTTCCTCCCCTGTGTGCCCCAAATTCATATTATCCCCTCCAGTTCCGTTCGCAGTGTCAACTCCATCAGTCCATCCACTATTCCAGTCATCCTCTCAAAGACCACCTTGGGCCGTCCCTGAGTGTTCCAACTCCTGTGATCCGTTCTTTACCCAGTGTACCCGCACGGGCCTGGCATATAGTCCGGAGGATCCCCAGCTCCAAATTCTCCGCCATTTTTCAGGTGCCGATTACGCCACGTCCAGTCGCAAAGTGATCTGCTTCCCGCACTTACAGCCTTGGATGGGTTACCTGGTCACTCTATTTTCCATTTCGACGTACTGTTCGCCATTGTTTGGACATGCCCTCAGTCACCGACCAGACCGGTCTTTCTGGTCTTGAATTTGATGGTAGGTTCCTTTCTTGGTTAACTTCCCGTCAACCCATTCCCCCTTTCCTTGGGCTCCAACAACCCCGTAGTCGTAGGTTTTCCGAGGCTCTGCTTCCGGGCCAAATGATCTCATAGCCCACTGCGACTGCTGGTATTCGATCAACCGTCAAACCCCCTCCCTCTTTGCGGTTCTTTATCCTTCCCTGTCCGGATCACCCCCTAAGTGTTGATGGATTCTGACCGATCATCTAAAGGACCACAACCTATTCTGGGGACTGGTTTGAATGTCTCCCCCCAGAGACATCACCACACAAATGGGCACGAAACTTCCGCAATTGCGTCAGAAGGAACTGCATTCAGGCATCGTGTCTCCGCACCCAAGAAACCGGCAGCCAGACTACCTACGCACCAGCCGGCTTCTTTAAGTAGTCAGACATCCAGCATCATCACTGAACCCGCGCATCGTCATGAAAGGGATGGCATTTCGAAAAATGGCGAGGAAGACCCGCAGAATAGCCTTTTCGCACAAGTCTACGAATGGCTTCAGCGCGAAAAATCCAAGCGGAGGTCTCACAAGGCGACAAGTTTAGCAACGATGGATGGTGTTGCCAGTGATGGTGACGATGACGACGATGACAGCGCTAGCGTCCTTGTGGAAAGACCTTTATCATCTGGTGCTGACACTACAATGGCACTCGACAAGCTGGAAAAGATTCTCATTCAGTACGCCACTTCACGGCAGGGAACCGACTCTGTACACCTCACCCGACGATCCGGTCGTCGGCGTCAGTACTCCAAGGGGTTGCGTAGGGGTTCTGCGTCTGAATCTGACTTTTCAGACCACGAGGCGGCCGCCCCTAGCGTGGATGCTGTGCTGGATAATTCAAAAACTCTCGCGTATAGCGGTGGTGGTACAGAAGATGACGACAACGAGAACAGTGTCAATGCGAGACGCGCAAAGGATAAGGAAGCCTGGACACTTTTCAAGAGTGAAATCCTTCGGCTCGCTCACACCATGCAGCTGAAAGGATGGCGGAAGCTTCCCATGGAACTTGCAACCGATATAGGAGTTGTTCGACTTAGTGGTGCCCTGACCAATGCCGTATATGTAGTCACACCGCCACAGAATATTCCTGTGCCTAAGGCGGAAGATGGATCATACTCATTGGTACCCAGAAAACCCCCACCGTAAGTGCCCTTACCTGAATCACACGTATAACCTAGAAGCTAACTCTCTGTAGGAAGCTCTTGCTCCGTATCTATGGGCCACAAGTGGATCACTTGATTGATCGAGATAACGAGCTCCAAATCCTCCGCCGTCTAGGCCGAAAGAACATTGGTCCGAAGGTGCTGGGTACATTCAATAACGGAAGATTCGAAGAGTACTTCGAAGCTCGCCCACTTACGCCTAAGGAGCTCCGCGATCCCCCGACCATGAAGCAGATTGCGAAGCGGATGAGGGAGCTGCACGATGGAATCGATCTTCTTGTAGACGAGAGGGAAGGAGGACCCATGGTGTTCAAGAACTGGGATAAGTGGGTAGACCGCTGCGAGCAAGTAATCAATTGGCTGGACAAGGAGATTCGATCCGAGCACAACAAGAGCAAAGCAGCATCCGAGGCTTGGCGCCGGCGAGGCTTTGTCTGCGGTGTTCCCTGGCCCTCCTTCAGGAAGGCAGTTGAAGGATATCGTAAGTGGCTTTTGTCCAGCTGTGGAGGCATGGACGGAATAAAGCGACAGTTGGTGTTTGCGCACAATGATGTAAGTGCTCTATTCCCATTCTCCGGGAACTGCGCTAATGATTTAGACTCAATATGGCAATCTGCTTCGGATGGAGCCCAGCCACGAATCACCGCTGCTTCGGCCTGAGAACGTGCATAAGCAGCTCGTCGTTATTGATTTCGAGTATGCATCGGCAAACACTCCAGGAATCGAGTTTGCCAACCATTTCGTAAGTCAAGTGTTAGATAGTGATTGGGAGTCTCTTACTGACCTCAACAGACTGAATGGTGCTACAACTATCATGATCCGGAGCGGCCGTGGGCATGCGACACCAGCCGCTATCCGAATCCAGAGCAGCAGCATCAGTTCATTGAAGCGTATCTGAGCCATCGACCCGGATTGCGCGAGCAGGCATCTCCTTCTATCACCCCTCTGATGCGAGGTCTCTCTACCAACACTTCATCACTAGCTCCTTTGAGCCTGGATGACGGCCCGGATGTCGACGTGTCTGCTCGGTTCGATATCGAGAAAGCGCACGAGGACAGCACCAGCGCTAAGATCCAATATTACGCGCGACAAACCAGATTGTGGCGGGTACTCAACTCCGCGCAGTGGGTAGCTTGGGGAATCGTGCAGGCCAAGGTGCCTGGCATGGAGGAGGGAATCGCCGCAGATGAAGCTGCAGCTAAAGCCCAGAACGGCCACCATGGTACCAATGGCAACGGGGTGCATTCAGACGTGACAGCTGAAGTGAACCACTCCACCGGAACCCCGCCAGTGGATGCCGATGTGGACGAAGCCGAAGAGTTTGACTACCTGGGCTATGCGCAGGACCGGGCGATGTTCTTCTGGTCTGATTTGCTGGCGCTGAAGATCATCCGAGAGGATGAGCTGCCCGAATCTCTGGTACAAGTGATCAAATCTCGCATGATCGACTATTAAACCTAATTAATATCTTGCCTTTTACGATTATGAGTCGGATGACATGAATGACGAAGCGATTCTTCAACAGACATCGGCCTTGCCACTGTACATAGATATGTCATAGTTATGAATCTCAACGGATCTTACTAGGTAGAATCCTAACACCCCCGGCAAAATAGACAGACTTCAAAAGATAGATAGTAGGCATGATCTACCTACCTCCTCATCAACTTCCTCTGCGTCTCCCCCTTCGCCTTCTCCACCCACTCCTCATACTTTCCCTCCCCCTGCGCATCCTTCATCCCCACTACCCCCTTCAACACCTCCCCAATAAACCCAACGAAATTCGACCGTCTCAATGTATTCTCCCAAGCCCACGCCCTCCTCTTCCTCTCCTCCCTCTCCAACGCCTCCACATCCCCGATCTCCTTCGCCGTGACCCTCAAATCCCTCACCACAGCCATAAGATTAAACCTCGTCTCCCCCTCCGGGTACCTCGCAATCCTCTGCCTCAACACCTCAATCACCTTCTCCGGGAACTCCTCCGCGGTACACCCCCCATGCGAAATCGGATGAGGCTGCAACCCATCCAACTCATACAACTTCCCATCAACAGGCGTGTACGCAATGAAATGGTATACATCCCCCTCCTCATCCTGGTTATTCCGCACTGTCTCGTCAACGAACGGCGAGGCGCGCGCGAACGCGTTGTGCGCGCTCCGGATCAGCTCTGAGTTGGAGAGCGCTTCGCCGCGCAGGTCGGGCGGGAACCCCGCTGTGAAGTCCTTGAAGGAGTGGAGTTCGGGACCGATGTTGATGGGGAAGGGGTTCGTAGAGGAGGAGGACGGGTCGTTGTTGAGGATCACGGAGAGGATGGCTTGCGTGCCGCAGGCGTTTTGGATCGTTTGGTTCGCGAAGAAGAGGTTCGGGGAGGGGTCGGTGTCGTAGGTGCCGGAGGGGGGTGAGGTGGTCGAGGATGTAGAGGTTGGTTGTTGCGTTTCGCGAATCCATTTGAAGAGGAAGATTACGCCGTAGACAGGGCTGCATGGTGAGAGGTGTTAGTGGGTGTGAGTGATGTTTAAAAGGTAGCAGGGGTATACCTTAGAGAGCGGATTGTGTCTGCATCTAGGGAAATCAGTTCTTCGAATTGAACGTCCTTGACGCCGAGGTTCTCGATAAGGGAGGTGAAGACGCCCTAAAGGTTTGCTGGTTAGGTTTGTGGCTCTATATGTATGCTTTGATGTGCAGATTGCGTACCTCGTCGGACTCGATTGTGCTCCAGCCTCCGCCGTCGGCCATGGTGTCTGGTATGGTGTGAAATGCGCTGCGCAAGGGGGTTATATATAGTATATAGCGCAGCAGGGAAGAATACAGTGATGGGGTATGATGTTTATGTTGTACTGGTGGGCAGGATGTGATGTGATGTGATGGTGGATACCTTGGAGCTGTTGTTTGGTGATGATGCAAACAGTACACACGTGCAAACATCCTCGGCCAAATTTGGATTATAGCCTTCCATGTTGTAGCCTGAATAGTCAGGTGTCATTTACTTGCAAAAGCCACTATATTTAGTAGAGGTGCATTGTCGATCCCATGATGACTTGTCTACATCGCCCTTGGCAGCTGAAGTACAAGATGGGCTCTTCATACAGACCAAAGGATCTTATGGGTTAGGCCCCCAAGGGTCTACCCAGCCTTGTCGACATTGCGGAGTGATCTACCCACGCTCATCCACATCCACCAATCGACACATGAACAGCGCAGCAGGACTTCGTATATCTCCGTCTATCATTGACTCTGACGGGTGAACAATGCATTTGTTTTCAGCTTAGGCGTCAGACATCTGGAACATGTCTAGTTTGCACTTACCCCGTTGGCTAACTAACTGGACGCCTTACGGGCCTAAATGCCGATCATCTACTAAGCCTCCCTTCAACTATAGTCGCCACGGAGGTGTCAATGACAATATATAATCTGCAGAAAGGACCAGAATTACCCCACAGACTCACAAGCAATTAACGAAAATTTTACAAGTCCACTTCTACTCATCTTCAATTGCACACCCTCTAGACCTCCAACCAAAAGAAAACCACCACCATGCAGCTTCTCTCCATCCTCCCTATTGCAGCTTTGGCTGGTACTTCCCTCGCAGTGCACTGGAACGTGACTCTCTACACCGACACCGAGTGCACTGAATACAAATGGTCATACGCCGGAAATCAGAGTTACGGGTGTTACTCGCTTGAAACATACAACCCAACCATTCAGTCTATCAGGGCTGAGATTCCCGATGATTGGGTTTTCGATGGAGCGAGCGGTGGTGCCTGTGATTACTTTCACACTTACGGGGGCTCGGGATGCTGGACTCAGGGTCAGGGATTAAAGTCTTTCCAGGTTTACCCGCAGGCAAGCTGAGGTGATGGTGAGTGTATGATGGGTTTACCTAGTGGTTTCTATCTGGCTAAGCATCGCTTCTCAGGCACCCAATGTTGAGAAAATAAAATGAGAATCGTCCGGTTACGACGTGCATGCTATTACTAGGTTTATATGCGGACATTGATTTCATTTCAGTTGTTTCTACCTTTCTTACCATGCGCTCTGTACTAGACACATGCAATTGGCTTTCTCATATAGAAAGTCATGAGACAGGGTTTCTGTTATACTCGAGTTCGACAAAATTAGAGTAGTTGTTAGGCCAATCGGCCCAATTGTCAATGATCTCAAGGCATTAGCCTATTATGTGGATATCCGTCAGATCATCCTTACGGAAATGTCTCTACTTAGCACGCTATGGTTGTAGAAACGACTTTAGGCATTCCGCACTATACTAAGCTTGATTTACACTGTATTCATTCATCCAAACTAGTGAGCTTAACTCACCATGCAAAGCTCACTCATCGAAAGGAATGATCACATGACTGCGGTTGCCTATTGCATGCTTCAATCTACGATTCAATGAACAACTCTTGATAGACAGGAAGATTCATCAACAAATTTCGTCGTGCTATCATTCAAATGACAATTATACATTCATGCCAGTTTTTCCACAGTCCATACTGTTTATGTCAACTTGACAGACCTTGTGTGAGATCCCACTTTCGAAAGCAGCCATCCACCATTCTGCAGCTTCTGGAAAACCTCATCAGGGTCATACTTTGCAGCAATGCTCTTGAGCTTTGCTACATTCTCAGCACCATAGCTGGATAGGGGGTCTTGATCGCGAGATGCATAGTTGGAATACCTGTACGGAAGATACGCGCCTGCCTGCTTTGCTGTCGTTTCGGCAACATCCACAATCTTGCGGACTGCTTCTCGGACGCGATCCTCGTCTTTCGCATGTTTCCAGTCGGCCATTGACAGAAACCCTATCTTGTTAGTTTCATCAAACAAACAATGGGAAAGGAAACATACACTGCTGGCCCACTGCTTCTAATCCAAGGGGCGTACCACCATTTTTCTGACTCTGTTTCATAGCTAAAGAGGACATGGGTTGAAAGACATTGGTCAGGACAAGCCCTTCAACATCGCTCAAAGCCTCCTGTTGCTCTCGGCGGACTTTCTCGGTTGCTTCGTACAGCTCTAAGCAGGGCCGACTGGACATGGTTCGGAACTCATGACTAAAGGATCTGTTAGCATCCAACAAACTGTAGGTTTCGGTATAACCTACTGCAGAACTTCGGGTGAAATGACTGAGGCAACCGCCTGGACGAGCTCATAAATTGAGCGAGTGCCCGGAGGCACAAAGTTCATCAAGAAGGGAATATCATAGAATGACTGGAATGCAGCAGGCTTCTCGATAGGGGCACAGTAGAAGAATACGAGAAGGATTGCTTGGCTGGTAGCATGCCAGACGAGGGATGCCTTGTTGTCGACTTCAATTGCTTCTTGGTACTTTATGAGGCTCTTGGCGAGCTCGGGGTAGGCTGTTGGGGGGTATACACGAGCTTCGGCCCAAGACTCGGTGGGCACCGTCACTAGATCCATCTTGGTTACGATGCCTTGAGCTTTCGTCAGTAATGAAACCATTATAATCCTAAGGAAAAGGCTTACCAAAGTTAGGACCGCCTCCCTTGAGAGCCCAGAATAAGTCTGCATTCTCCTGAGCATTGGCATTCACAATGCTTGAGTCTGCGAGGACAACCTGCGACCAGGTTAGAGAACAGCTGAAAGCCGCGCAGTATGTGCAAGTTTACCTCATAATTAGACACGCCCATTGCGCCCACTCCATATTGACTGTTCTGAAAGGAAATCCCTCCTCCCAGGAGAAGACCGGGAACGCCAACTGTTGGAATCCGACCTCCTGCCACTGCCAGCCCATGAGGGTCGAGAGCCTTATAGACATCAAGCCATCTCAGCCCGAGACCTACATCAGCAGTAGACTTGTCGTCAGACAGCTTGACATGATTGAATTTACTCAAGGAGATAACCACTCCGCCATTATTACTGGTGAACCCGGGGTTCTGTAGGTGGCCGCCGCCGCGGACAGAGAAGCAAACGTCGAAGAAACGACAGAGAGCAAGGGCAGTTGCGACTTCTTGTGCTGACGTTGCTGTGACCACAACTAATGGCTGGAGCCAGCAATTTATTGACCTGTGTAACAGAATTAGTTTGATTGCAAATGTGCTTCGAGGGTGTGCAATTGTCATACCAGGGCACTTGGCGTTGAGAATCATACTCATCGGATGCCTGGAAGATGGCATTTTCACCGAAAAGAAGAGGGAAAACTTGGGCAAGGTAGGATGCCCGTTGATTGTTCTTCTCATCCTCCGGAAGTGCTGCATACTTGGACAGTAGGCCCTCGATTTTTGCGGTGGTGAGAGCGTCGACGTTCTGTCCCTGAACGATCGCTGCGATGTCTGTTGCACAGCCCATTGTGGTTTGTTAGTGTGTGAGGCTGAATGACAGGGTTGCAAGCCTGATACCCCGGTCAATAAAGAAAAAGAAATGAGGATGCTCACGAAAAGGAGGTACTACGAATCGTATCCACTACATTCATTATATAGGATTCATTGGCAATGGGCAAGGGGCCGGCACACGGAACGAACGCCCAGGTGTTTGCGGGGCCAAAACAGCTCTAGTCTGGTAGTCACCACGCTATCCTGCGCCAACTTTTTTTTTTTTTTTTTTTTTTTTTTTTACTTTCTTTGCTATAGTACAGGGATCCGATTCCTTCTTAAAATCACAACTCAAATTCGGCTAAATGCCGAGGCGGGTGACATTATCCTCGACATGCTCCCCCCTCTGGACTCAACATTCTCAACATGCCACCCAGTCACTGACGGGGGTAGGACAATAGATTAATTACACCATGAACTGGACGGTCATACCACGAGATGATAGTCTACCTTCGATGACTATTACTGTTCGCATCATAGTCCTCGTCCTTGCTATTCCAACTACCTTTGTTTGCGGTCTCTGGGTGTGTACCTGACCCTTGATAGGGTTGACGAAGCACAACTCATTTAATAATCTGAATCATAGCTCTACTTACGGAAATTTGTTTTGAACTCATGGGGACTGGATGACTGGATGGTAATGATCGCTCTTGTTAGTCTTCCCAAATGCTCGAGCAGTGGGCGACGGATTACTGAGCCACAACAGGTCATGGTGAATGGTTTCTCGACGCTTGCATTTACGATCACCTACTATGGCCTCGGAAAAAAGACCATGGATGTTCCAGATGCAGACCTGCTGGTTTGGTGGAAGGTACGCTAAAAGCTAACACATACTCTAATTTGGACAGCGGTTGAGGTGACAGGATATAATTAGATCTACTATGCGGCGCTCTGCAGCTACTTGCTTGTTGCTGCATCGGTCAAAACAAGCCTCACTGTGTTTATAATGCGGCTTTTCCCCACCCACAGTATAAGCATCGCTGGCAAGTCCATTTTGGGATTTCTAGCAGTCTTCACGCTCGCAGGAACCTTGGCTTTGGCATTCCAGTGTCGACCCGTTCGCGCTGGATTCGACAAAACCATCCCAGATGCGAAATGTTACAGTGTCAACACTTCCTTTGCCATCCTCATGGCGCAAGGTGTCATTATGTTTGTGATGGATCTGGCCATCCTCGCACTTCCACTCCGTCGCGTCTGGCAGCTTCAAATGCCACGTGGACGAAGGGTCTTGGTACTTGGATTATTTTGCCTTGGTATGCTAGAAGCCTCACCTAGAACAAACAGTAACTGACTGCTTTTCTGCTCAGGTTTCACAGCATGCATCGCGGCACTGGTTCGCTTCAGCACCTTGGCCTATGCCAGGGACGAAACAGACTACACCTGTGAGTATATTGCGTTCAGTAGTTCGACGAGGATATCCAGCTCGCTTACAGATATTCACCAATAAAAGACACGGCTGCCACTTCACTCATCTGGATGGAACTCGAGTTTAATCTTGGTCTCATATCCGGCTCCCTCTCATCTTTGCGCAAACTCTTTCAGATTCGATCGCCTTTCAAGTCGCGACGAACCTCCTCTTTCACGGGCAGCCGCTCCACCAACGTCGAACTAGGGAGCTATAAAGGCTGGGGCGGGGGAATCAGCAAGCAAACGGAGATCAACAGGGCTTTTGAGATCTTAGACAGCAGCCAGGAGCACATCGCCCCGATCTACGGCCAGGGTGAATTATGCACCACCACCAATGCATTCTCTAATGGGAAGCTTAGCCGTTAGACTCTATCTTCGCTCAGGATAAAGATATGTGACTCTGCACTATAATCAATCTCAATTGCAACCTCTTGCCTTGCCATGCAGCTACGGACATGCATACGAACCGTTGCTGCTAAGGGGGAGGGGCTGCTGTCAGATAAGCGCAGCTCCACAAATGCCACCGGCGCAGACGCTAAATTGACCGGCCGTCAGACGGCGCACGCTGCAGCAAACGGGGCGTTTTAACTATCACTCCCGCCAAGTCAGTTTAGACCTGCTTTATCTAACTAGTTGTCAATTGGCCAGCTAACTATTCGAGGGGTAAACTTAAACAGGGAACAAGCAAGAGCTGCAATGAACATCCGGGTTCCGTGCTGTGCGGTTTCAGTGAGCCGTCGACCAACACCGGTGCTGACGCCCATCGCCAGTTTTCGCGGCACTATCCAGTTTGGTCTCAGTGCCCCTTCAGTCTAATATAATCTGTTGACGAATGTTAGCTAGAGCCTGGCTGATAATGCTAGTCGAATTAGTAGAGTGCAGTGAAAAGAGAGCACAGGCCAATTGGTGGCCATAGTCTGTGTATGGGTAGGTATATGGGTGATGAGTTGAACCTACAGAATTGATTGGAGACTGCTTTATGCATATACTCTGTAACCACGGCCTGAATGGCTCTATATAGCTTGTAGATCCAAAAACCCTCCTGAGAAGCCAACTGACGCGCCACGTGATCACGTGCACCGTCCAGCACTGTCCGTGCTTGGACCCCTTGATGATCTTCTTGTCTGACAACAATTCATATGACATTTGCCTGTGAGTATCTGTGGATAAGTCTGGAATGAATACTATAAGATCGTCAGTTTCTCGTTTGCCCGCCTTTCTCCGCAAGAAGCCACTTCCATTGCCATCACCTGGGCCACGTCTACCGCCCGGCATACTCGTCGATGAAGAGATCGCGCCAGTATACAATGCCAAGCACTTCTACCCAGCAAGGCCTGGAGAGGTCCTTGCCAATCATTACCAAGCCTTGGTAAAGGTGGGCTGGGGCGTATCTTCAACAATATGGCTGGCGCGTGATTTGGAAGAGTAATCGATGATCCCCTTCCAAACTCTGTTTCCGTCTCTAACAAGCCTACAGACATATCGATGAGCCAGAGAGCATAGTGACACTGAAGATAGCAAATAATAATGCGAGCCTCACTGCTAATGAGCGTGAGGTTGAGGACCACATCTCCACGGCAGATCCATCACATCGGGGTCGTTTGCTTATGCGGACCTTACTAGACTCTTTTGAAGTTGAGGGCGCAGAAGGTACTCATTCGTGTCTTGTGTATCCACTGATGAGGGAGTCATTATCGATGTACCAGCAGCGCTTTGATCACAAAAAGTTGCCACTGCCTCTTGTCAAGACATATATTCGTGCGCTTCTTACGGGTCTTGATTATCTTCATAAGAGTTGCAGGACAGTTCATACAGGTAAATCCATCTTCACTCTTAGTTTCAGCTTATGACGATGAACACTGGCAACTGCCTAGACCTAAAGCTTGATAATATCATGCTCTCATTCGAGGATCCAATGGTGCTTGCCGAGTTTATGGAAACGCAGCTTGAAAAACCAATGGCATTCAAACTCGATTCGACAGGACGGCCAGTATACCAGTCCCGTAATGACTTCGGGCCACTCAAAAGCCTGAGGAGTATTCCGCAGCTGGTTGACTTTGGCCTCGCAACTAAACTTGAGGAAAACGACGACTGGGGCGTCTGGCCTATTCAGCCAGACCACTATCGGGCACCAGAGGTGATATTGGGTATTGGATGGCAAATGCCTGCAGATATCTGGAACCTTGGTGTTCTAGTACGTTCCTTTGTTCTCCAAAGTTGTTGCATTGACTAACTTGGGACAAGCTATGGGATTTGATCGAAGGCAAAGAGCTATTCCAGCATATTCATGATAAACAAGGTCGCTACGATGCTAAACTACATATGGCTGAGATGGTGGCCTTACTCGGTCCACCCCCTCCAGAGGTCATGCAACGGTATCAATACATGCGAGAATACCCGTGGCCGGAACCTGTTAGACGAGAAGACGACAGACTATGTGAGACCGCGGAGGAGTACTTCGATGGGCCATTTTTTGACACTAACGGTACTATGTGACTCTCTACCCCGAGGAGGACTTTCAGATCACTAATTATTTTCAGGTCGCTTTCTATACGAAGACCTGATTCCCAACCGAACATTAGGCGACGCAGTTTCCTTTCTCGAGGGAGAGGAGAGGGAAAATTTCTTGGACCTCGTCAGTAAAATGCTAATTTGGCACCCAAATAGGAGGAAAACGGCAGGCGAACTGGCGGAACATCCTTTCCTTCAACCCAAGCAATCGCATACTTGATTTCTGTGAGTGCTTGTTGGTGGACAGTGGCAAGCAATTCTGTCCAACTCAGTTTGGCGGTGGCATCAGTTGGCCGGTCTAAGCGTTAAGACAGTTGTCGTTGCAAATGGCATCTACAATTGGTCCCGCTTTTTTAGTCATAATACAACTGTATCTTGGACAGATTCCATAACTGCATGCGCCATGTCACCGTGGGTGCCATTTCGTCAGTTGTTCTACATAGCCCTCCTTGCTTGGTAGATTGTCACTATGGCAAGTACTTCGTAATTTCCTACTTTTCTTATTCTTTCCCCTTCCTATCGTCGAGAACAGTCTATCATTATCAGAGTAGGTGGAAACACAATTGGACTTAAACCAGTTTACAATCTGCTTGAATAACAGGAGGATGAATTGCCCTTCTTTCATTAGTATCGAGGTATCTACACTAAACTTCATACACATTGGATGCACTTGTGACGGAGAAGGATATGATTTTCGAGTTCGCAGCTGGCAGGACCCAGCTACAAGGAGGCTGCACATGCACTCTGACTCTGTAAACACAGAGTGTCGAAGCACTAATCGCTAGACCGAAAACGATAAACCGCTCTTGGCTAGCTAGGCGATGGAGAGATATGTGTCCCAACTCAGAGCATAAGCCAGAGTTGGGCATATTGACTCACATGTGATGGAGGGGGCGATTAATTCAATCGAACAACAGCCCATATGCTAGGCGTATACAAATAGCTCGTAGCGTTATTGTAACTCATGTTGAGACATTCACTGCAGCCAGGCAGCTGTCAGCTGATCCTTCGCCTTTTCTTCCTGCATGGTCTCTGACCACCACCTCTTCCAACAACCAACCACTCTCTTGAGATCAGATAGATCAAATCCATATATCGTTGACCTTCCGTCTTGACAACTCATGTAGGTTTTCAGCGACATGCTGGTTAGGGATTGAGACAGAATTATGTGCTTGTTAGTAGTACTTTTATATATGAACAAGAAAAAACAGAAATCTAATCCTACACTCCAAACCCACAAGAGTCAACCCAATGCACCTGTATAGTTCTTCTTAAATTCGTGTCCCGACTGAGTCATGTCCAGCCGAACCACTCTGGTCCATCTCAAGATCATTGCTTATATTCGTGAACCCTTCCTGCCTCCGCTGCACACTGCGAAGATTGCAAGTGCTAGACATTCGATCAATCCTTCCACCACTATCATTCCATGATCCAAAAGAATGGAACCTCAAGACCTGTCGAAACGAGGGTACGCAGGCTGTGATGATGACCAGGCTCGCCTCGACATTACTACCAAAGCAGCAAACCGAGTCAGCAACAGTCAATCAGGTGTAAGAATGAAAGAAGGCTGAACGATCACATACATCCAAAGTGCCACCCCACCCAGCAAATACGTCTGGTCTTCCTGCGTCAACATCGGCACCGTCGCCGCCAGCCGCAATGTACTCGTAACGAGCGACCTAAACACCGCCGCCAACTATTAGCCATAACCCATAAAACATACACCTCGAAGGTGAAGAATGGAACACATACAGCCCACCCAACCCAAACATACAAACCAACCCAATCCTCTTCCTGGACGCCATTTGCAACCTCACAACAATTGGCAGCGGCATGACCAGCAACACCAAGTCAATAAACATACTTGCCACCACGCCCGCCATAAATATCGGGGCTCGACTCCAACAGTGTCCCTCTGCACCAGGGTGCCAGGCTTTATATACCGGATCGCAGGTGAACAGAAAGAGACATTCGAGGATGATCATGTAGGCGACGACGAAGGCGGTCATGCCCCATAGGGTTATGCGCCATTTGCGTTGCATGTCGGAGAGGCGGTAATAGAGGATGATGAGAGATATTTTGGAAAGGCCGAGGGCGGGGATGTACATTAATGAGCCGAGGAGGAGGACCTATTTGTTTTGAAATTGTTGTTAGATGGTGTTGTGGTAGAGGTCGGGATGGGAATGGGGAGTGTACTCGGAGGGTTTGGTTGTACACGGCTCTGGTGAGGTCCCATTCATGAACACCTAAGCCGGCGTGGGTGTAGCCGTCTGTGGATTTGGGTGATTGCGTTAGGATTGAGCTGGATTAGGCTGAGATGGAGGTAGGTGGTGCGTACATAGGAGTAGGGCTTGGGTTATTGCTGCGAAAATCTAGGGATGTATCAAGATCAGTTGTTTTGTTGGTGCTGTTGAGAGGGTGAGTTACTGACCCATGATAGAATGATGACGGCTACATATGAGGACTTGTGTTAGCAATGCATGCAACTGCAAGTATTCGAGGATATATTTGCACCAATAATAAAAGATAGATCGGCTGCACTCACCATCATCAAGCAGCCACTTCCGCACAATAACCACCCTCGTATATACTCTCACCAGGAGACATAATGTACTGACTGTAACACCCACAATAACCACAACTAGATTTGCAGTATGATAATGCCTTTCAGGATCCTTTAAATCAGGCGTCACGCCCTCGGGTGCAGGGATAACGCCCGTGCCAGTCCCCGTCAAGGCAGCGGTGCTGGTGGCGCTCATAGCAGCGGCACACAAACATTATCCGACAACAAAAACAGGAACAAAGTTTTTTTCGTCCCCTCTCATATGGATCCCAGACATATAAAGCAGAGTTCAAATAAGCAGGGGATAGATACACATGTGAACTTTCCTGGTCGGAAGGATTCCGTCCGTTCGCAACCGAGATTCCTCAGAACCGGTAACGTAATCAACGGTCGAACGGGCCACACGGTCAGGCGGGCCATCCTGAAATCCCATATAAAAGATGTCTTTTTGATTCTATTATATATCAACCAGTACTACTTCTATGAAGCTCTAACTTTGTAGATAGTTTATATATATAAGAATAAGTATTCCATGAATTTTTCAGATTTTTAGAATTTTTACTTTGATAATGAAACCAGATTCTTATATAATACATATAAATACAGATATTGTAATATGATAAGTCCATAAGTAAAAGTATATTCATTTTTAGAAGGTATATAGATATTATTTATATTATTTAAAATCTATATAGAAGAAATCTAATTCTTCTAGACCTGGATGGTAGAGATATATTATGTTTAAAAAGATATCTTTTGTATAGTATTACCAGATGGCCCGCCTGACCGTGTGGCCCGTCCGACCGTTGATTACGTTAGCTGGAAATAGGTTAGTTATTCAGCCCCCTGCTCTAGCTTGAGAAATGATAGGGAAGGTACCCAACGAGAAGCACCGGCTAATGATTTAGTGTGCGAGTCATGAGCGTACCGCACTGATCTGCAGGAGGGCTATGCGTAACTTGACCCGGCCGATGAGAAATTCATCTATTCGTGCTGGGCATGGGAGAACTTCGGCGGCCGAATCTAGACTGCACGCTATAGGTGCCGAAGGATGGGAAACCTGGTTAGATTAGAGGTTTCAGTGTGCAGAATAGCAAAAAGCCGAAGGATCTGATTAGGTGGGTGACAATGATTTAGCCTGATGTCTTAGCTTTTATTGGTACTATGAGGGGCGATCGCGGCCAGGTTCCGATTACTTATGAACAAAAGTACTGGGAATCCACTATGCACGAATGACGGCTGAACAGTGGATACAGGTGATTAGGTTCCTTGGTTGCTATGCTATCTGATAGATAATTGATGCCCAGGAGGTTGAAGAGCTGCCTGATCTCTATGGTCTCCTAACATCACCACGCCAAACTTCCATCTGCACCTGCCTGGCCACAGTAATACGACAGCTCGTCTCCTCCTATGTGTTGACCCTCGGACTTGCAATAGTACAGAAGGTCTTTGTCACTCAGCACTGTGCAATCCGGGCATTGGTCCCATTGTTTGCTGCCTGTGTTGCGGTTCTTGTAGGATGCGCAGGCTTTTTCTGTTGCTGCCTTGTTGAAGACTTTCTGTCAAGTTTTGTCTGGTTAACAAGTATCTCTGAGCATTGTGACCATGGAATTAACTTACCACGTCCTTACCAGGGGAGTCATAGCAGAGACCTGTGTAATGGAGGTCCGCTAGCGCACTACAACATGTTAGTGCTTGAGTGGTAGCTGGAAATTGGGAGGTAATGTGTACCCAGTAGCGAGGACTGCGATGAGGACTGCAAATTGCTTCATTGTGCTTGTGAATTGTGAAGACTGAGTAGTGTATGTTGTCGAAGAGTGGTTCAAGACAGTCCTTAATATGTTCTTATCGAAATTGACTGACTACGGCTCAGGAAATCCCGCAATATATGATGTCTCAACTCAAGTCTCCCAGCAGTCTTCGAATTATCACTCTACTCAGGCTCTACCACCAAGTCCAAGGAAAAGTAATTCCGAATATCCTCCGCCATGATATCACCATCATCAAATCAACAATATAATTCTCACCGACATACAATCCTTCGAGCAACCCAAGACCGACGTCGAAGATCACAATAACCTCAAGAGAGACATGCTCAGACAACATATACCTCAAGTTCAAGCTCCATGAGCAGCTATAATACTATCAACTCCCAAAATCCATCACCTGAACATCGGCCGAGCGCAGATCGCCCTGTATGTCTCATCCTGCGCCAAGGAGCCGATCCTCAAGTTCTTCCTGTCTCAACGGGCGGAACGCACATGGCACAACCCCCTGAAAAGATCGAATGGAGCAGCGGGAGACAACCTCATCTATTAAGGTTTTGGGGCGTGAAACGGGTGGGCCCACTTAGGGCCATGACTGGCTAGATAGCGGCTCGATCCGTCGCTGAGATTGACAACCGGTCGTCTTGGTTAGGGCTACGGTTCAGGAGCGGATCGTATGGATTACTCGATTCGGTCGATTATGTCTGCATAATTAGTCTTGTGCGACTATGATTGTCGATCTTCTGTTTCCTCGGGGGTACCTCGGGGACTCCGGGGGATCTGCGGAACGGTTTTGGATGTCGTTGATCGATGTTGTATGTTGTGATCTTGGCGATGGTTACAATTCTTGGCGAAGATGGGATATGTAGTAGTAGTAGTTGTTGTTGTTGAGGATTGGAAGGAGTAATAGAAGGTGCTCTTAAGACGCCTGGAGATATATAAATTCAAGCCTCTCGCGACAAAATATGTAAGACCAATCCAATTAGTCCGCTCAGTTCTACAGCACAAGAAGAACCCGACCCAACAACCGCACACCATGAAGCTCCCACTCCTCGTCACCCTGCTCTCTGCAACTCTTTCTTATGCCGCACCTACATCCACCACCATCTGCGGTCCCGACGAAGCAATCATCCTCCTAAGCAACAACACCACCAAGACCATCAAGAAAGCCGACCTCAAGGCCCAAATTCCAAACCTCACCTTCCTCCCACCCACCGACTCAACACCACCCTTTATCACCAGCGCCTCCAACCACAGGAACAACACCACCACCAAGCGCAGCTCTTCCACAAACCTCATAATTCCCCTGGAACCACAGAGTTTCCTCGGCTGGGACATCGCCATGTCCACCATCACGCACGCCAATGAAGCCCCTGTCACCCTCGCCATCCAATCCGGACAAATGATCGCCAACAGCGTCACCACCGGCGTCTCGTCCGACGTCACCCTCATCGAGGACTTCCTTTCCCTGACCACAAGTATCAGCTACCAGCACACCACGACGAGCACGATCACGGGCACTGTGACGATGACGATCCCGAAGGGCAAATGGGGCGCCATTGTGAGTAATCCTCTGACGCATCGGAGCCGTGGGTATGTGTTCAATGGGGAGCCGGGAAATGGAGGCACATTTGAGTATTACCAGGCAGACAGCTATGAGGATACGAGTTATACGTATGGCGAGGGTAAGTTGGAGTGGGTTAAGGGGGTGGTCACCACTTGCTTGGGGGATGGGTATCCCTTGAAGAGGTGTGAGGGAGAGGGGTCCTTGGAGTGAGATACTTCCTTCTGTATGGGCTGTGCTTGAATGCTTCTTGGGATTTCGAGTTGAAAGTGCTTTGAAACTAGTATATAGATCGACAACTTGGGTTTTTGTATATCCCCACCGCCGCGAGAGCATGTAGAAGTTCCCAGAAGATGTCTTGGCTGTAGATGCTCCGCGTGAAGTCTAGCTGTCTGCCATACTTTAGAAGCATAACAATATCGGTGTCGGGGCGAATTTCGCCTGTCAGTAGCGAGCTGTAGCAGTGCACAGTGCAGATGTTTCAGTTTGCACAGCATTGGATATTGAGTTTGTTGATCCCAGAAGTCACCAAGTCGCCCTTTACTGGAACTGATTGCCCTCTCTGATTAGCGCACTTCCCTTTTTGATATGAATCTGATCTGCGGTGTCTGCTTTCATGCAGCTCTTGCATTATTCTGATGGGAAAACTGCAGTATAATGGCGGTATAGTCTTGTTGTATCTGGGATAGTGGACTTCTGCGTGAATGAAGCTGTATTGGAGGCCACAAATACCAAGGCGGTGGCCACCGTGCATATGAACCGCGTGTCTCCCTTTGTTCGCCCCTTTCTCTTTCCTTCGCATCATCCATCATACTGACATCGTGACATACTCATGCAGGATACAGTAAATGAAAAGATTGACCGTTCAATACGGCCACCGCAGCTTTCCTTGGTCAGTAAAGAGTGTTGAGACAAACCAACCGTGCTGACACCCTAGTACTAGATCCTTCGCGATAACAATGTTCTCCAACTGGAGGAGCAGCAACAAATCCAAGATGCGCTCGAGAAAAGTCGGCAATACTGGTATCAAATCGCGAACTTGGCCTTTCAGCTGCGGGACACAGGTTTGATTCCTGAGTTCACAAATCCTCGCTTCGCTCTACATAGAACCCCGAAACTTCAAGCCCAGTCTGAACGGCTCCACATTCGCCCATATGGAATGACTCCTATACTCAGTCTTTGCTGTGAAGCTTCTTCTATCTGGACACTGTCTGGAGACCAGGATTGCGGCAAACTCAAGAAGCAGAAATCACACCCTACCTTGATACAAGTCGGCACTGCTGCTGCTACGACTTTCAGCTTCACCGAGGGCGCATTCAGTTCATTGAGCAGCGACACGAGCGAAGAACATTCGAACGGACCCAATTACCTGGGGATCCTCGCTCTTGGATGGTGCTATGTCCTATCTGCACAGCTCGTTGAGATGCGAGGTGGGGATTCTTCTATGCAGTACACCAGTTTTCAGACAGGGTACAGCAATGAAAGCTTACCTAATGTCTCACAAGTCCACATCGTCGATATTGGGGAAGTGGAGGAGAACGTAGCTCGCTGGTGGTCCGCATTACTCGCACTGAATGGATGGAAAGCTACAGTGAAACAAACGCCCCAAGGGGATTTTCTGGCACCGTGGTCGGTTTCCCGTACCTGTAAAACGCAATTCTCGATTAAATATAAGGGCGCCCCCTCATCAAACCATGACCTGATGCCCTTATCCTCAGGGAGCGCGTTTGAGGCACTTGTTGAATTCGCACGTCTGTATGGATTGCAAAGCCAATTCCTCATTGCTCTTACGATAGCTCTGATAATCCCGACGCATAAGTATTATAAGCAATCTGCCAAACTGCCTCTTCCCCGAGCGAGCGGTGCAAAATCAATTGACGTACCCATGGATACTGAATGGGTGAAATTGAAGGAAGACTTGCCCTACTACATGACTCTGAGCTGCAGCCCGGAAGTAATGATGTCGACTTTCTGTGGAGCATTCTGGGAGCACGATGTCCCCTGTAACCTTGTCAGCCCATGGCTACATCCCATCATCAATGAGGTTCTAGGTGCTTTGCCAGAGAATGAACTAGAAGTTCTTGCTTTTATCGGTGCGATCCGCCAGCCCTGTTTCGGTGCTTTCTGGATTGGAGCTGTTGCAAGCGGGCTCGGCCCACAAATACTCCACAGAGTAAGAGAAGGCCGACCACCTGTTGACGCGGTCGCCTTTCCCTGGACTGGATGCCCACAGCGCTTTCTGCACTTTGCAGGATCAGGCCCCTACACTTGCAAAGACCGGAATTACATCTTGAGAGAAGATGTCTGGCGGTTGACACATTATCCTTCAACCGAGGAGGACAATGAGGGCTATCAACATGGGCCTAGAGTGCCTTGGGCCCCTTGCGGAGCATCTCTTATAAACGACTGTGCTCTCTATGTCACCGCACACGTAGACTGCCCCCGGCATGAATATAAGTATGACCATTGGGAGTGGTATTTGCCGGACGGCACTGCAATGCAGGACCGCGGGTTCTCGGAACAAGTAACGCCAGCTGTATCTGAGGGTCGTTTCGACAATATCCAGTTAAAGACACGTAGGGATTTTAGACGAACCAAGATGGACCAGGAAGCTTCCAGAGAGGCTTCGGGGCAAGTATTCTTATGGTACTTTTTCGGTGGGGAAGGCTTGCCCTCGGAGAGCATTTACCAGGAAGAATGGCTTAAAGGAAATATGGGAAAACAATATGAGTGAGTTTGGTGGCGGGGAGGTTGATGAGAAAGAGATACCGGAACCGGTTGTAAATTCTAGGGGCTGTGTTGATTCTGGCTTAATACTGTTGGTTGACACTGCCTAGTTGTCTGACAAGTTGCTTACCCAAGATATAGCTACAGTAGAGAGGCTAGCGGCACATGAGAATATGATTGCGTTACATATTTCTATGTTTACATGGCCTTCTTGTTGTCATCCAGAGGAACTTGGCATCATCGATCACACTCACCTCTCGACAGGTCATGACTCAGCCCGAAGCCACTGCCACATATCTGGGACATCAATCCAGGACAGAAGACCAAGGTCATCCTCAAACGTGCTGGGGCCGATACCGGAATCCGTCCAATACGATGAGTCCAGTCCAGGGGTATCTTGAAAGGGTGAAGGATTCGTTGGGCCATCGGGGACAGGGTAGTGTGCGCTGGCTTCGTCTGTGAGATTTCGATCCGGATTTACTCCCACATTAGAACTAGGCTTAGATGACGGACGGCCATGGATATTCTGACTGAATGCTGCCTGTAAGAAGCGAAGCGATGTCCGTGCTGATTGACTGAATGTAGCCATGTGTGCGAGGATATTCTCGCATTTCTCCCAGGCTTCTCGAACTTTGGAGAAATCGATCGAGTCAGATAGTGAGGGTACTGAGTGAGCCATTATGAGAACGAGGGCACATGTTGATGTATCTGTTTCAATTGTCAGGTTGGTTTTCCAGCTACCAGCGTGTAAACTTTTCAAGACAACAATAAGAGGAAAGGAACGAATGAGTGACAAACTTACAAAAGCCATTATACCACCAAGCATCAGTATATGATGTCGAGTATGTCTCATAGATCAAGTGGATAAGCTCAGTTGCGGTGGAAACACACGTAGCTGCACATTTTTTAACTATGCAGGATTGTAGGCTGCTTTCAGCATCCTTCCAGGCCGGGTATATATCTTTCTAGGAATCATGTGAGTGCTGAGGCGAAGTATAATCTGAGCACACCTGAGTAAAGATCGGTCGGTAGAGAAGTAGCCGGATGTAGTAGTACCTAAGACATTAAGTACATGTGATGCTTGGACATTGGACTGGGACGATATTGCTTAGCGTGAACGAAGGATGTTTCGCTGGCGCTCTAGAATATCCGATTCGTCAGGGGTGCACTCTGGACGACTAGAAGCGCTCCAGCTCAGATAGGGTGGAAGATTGCTTTTAAAATACTGTAGCTGCCGTTCCAGTTCTAGGAGCGAATCGAAGTTGCCTTCGGACCATCGTGTCGACCTTTTCGATTCCTCATTCATCCGACCTCGCCACATGTTATACACGTCTGAGAGAATTCTATCAAGAATTCGATAGAGCTTGATCGTTGCCACGTAAAACCCCATGGTCAGAGGGACATCTTCGCCTGTGGCATAAGGCAACGGAATCGGGGCCAGATGACTGGTCATGCTTGGCCGACCGTGTGTCATGCTCACGAACCTAGGTAGAAGTCAGTTAGGTTGGAGAGAGCCATCGGCAGTGAAGTACTTACACATCTAGCATCACACAGCCATGCCATGTCCTCCGGCGTACTTCTGTCTCCAGCACTGTCATCGAGGACACGTTATGGGCCTCATGTAAGCCCAGGCCTTGTGCAAGACGGCATGCTATCCCAATGGCATTCCAGCACCTACTGGGATACGGGCTACTCTGCAAGTAGAGCGCGACAATAAGGAGAGTCTGAACTACTCCGACTGTATGGATCTCAAGGAGATCAAGGCCTACGAAGCGTTTGCAGCGTAGGAAGAAGGAGTGGGCTGTTGCCTCTCGCTCCTGCAGCGGAAGGTCCGAAAAATGGCAACCAAGCGCAAACATCACATTTAGAGCACAATAGAACACGATAGACTTGGGAGATGAGTCCGACTTCCCTCCGAGGCCGATATGCATGTCCGGTAGCTTGTTCATCCCCTCCCTTTCCGATCTCCACAGGTTATCATACGCTTTCTCGAAGCTGGGCCGATCGAAGAAAGGGTAGATACAGGCTACACGGTCCCAAAAGCATTTTAAGAGGTGATCTGCTAGTGAGCGGGGTGGAAGTGTGAAGTCACTGATCCGGTACTGTGTGTTAGGGGACTCGTGATACTGGTAATCCATTGAGTTATTAGGACTACCTTTGGCCGAGCGCGAAGATCGCAACGGGACAGACATCCGTGCAAACCTCATCAGTGATGCAATGGAGGAAGATCCATAATATTCCCGAAGTGGAGCTGGAGATGCCAAGGTATCATCTGGCGTCGCGATTTGGCCCATTGCCGTGACACGGCCAGGGGTGTCCAAGTGGGGAGATGCGGATCTTGTTTGGGATGAGACGTACATTTGCTTCCCACGGAGGGGATTGCGGTTCGGATTGTTCCGAAGGTGGTCGGACATCCTTTGAGATGCCTCTTCTGCTTCGGGAAGGGAAAGAGAATTCCGGGCCTGATGGTCACTTGGGACTGTTCCTGAAGTATCAAGGCTCTGGCCATCTGCATGCCGCTCATCGTGGAGACTGTTGTTACTCTCCTGAGGCACTGGGCTACCTTGGGTGACCCTTGAAGACCTCGACTGCCCATCCCGATTCCGATCCAGATGTAGAGTTTCATGTGTAGGAGAGTCTTTCTGGTGTGGTGAGTCCCTGCGTATTTCCGGTGCTGACACTCCGGCACGAAGACATAAATCCTCGAGTTATTGATCCGCGACCGTAGGACCCGGATGTACCTGTGCGGTCAGCGAAAACGCTGGTTACGTTGTGAGGAAGGACTCACTCATCCTGACTAGCGGTCCTGGGGTTATCCATGCTGTAGGAGCATTGGGCAATGCCCCAGGACTTTCGGTCGCATGACCCACAGATCGGTTTGCCGCCATCACAGCGGATCTTTTTCTCCCGGCATGGATCGCACGCCAATGCAATCTTCCGACGCGAGGTACGTTGCTTGGCAACGCCGCTAGATTTGGGGGGCATCTTGTCCCTACCTGAGGCTAAATCGAAGAGCTCAATTTGTTGGTCCAGGTAATTGCATTTCGATGTTATTCAGGAGCCAGCTAACTGGCCGTTGTGGCACCGGCCAGCTGATTGTGGAGGGGCTCCGGAACGATCCGAAGATACTCCACGCTGAGACAATACGCTGCTCTTCTCAGAGACCAATATTCTACTAGGATACGCCATGCTTAAAAGCTGTGGAGGTTTCATTACTCCAACTTCCTACAATGTCTCCTTGTTCCCATTGCGAAGCAGCGAGTAATTCTGGCCGAGTCTCGACAGCTGGCCGGATATCTCGGCAAACCTGGTAAACCTTCTGCTCGGGTTGCACCCGATGAGGGGGCGCAGTGGCTGAACTTGGATTATTTATATCCTGTATATTATATCACGATCTTCCTTCAATTATCTTCTCGTGCCATTACAGGGAAAACTTTTTCTGAGCCTCGTCTGTCGTTAGAACCAATGTCGAAGATTGATACTCATCATCACTTTGTGCCGCAGTTCTATGCCGAAGGTACGTCTGAACCGCGTTCGCCCGGACTATATCTAATCCTATATCCATACCGATTCAACGATTTTCATATGGATAGCGGTTGAAAATGCGGGAGGTGACCCCTCCGGCTGGCCAACTCCCAAATGGAGCGCTGAAGCATCATTGGCTTCTATGAACAAGAATGGCACACAGAAAGCGATCTTGTCTCTAACAGCTCCCGGAGCTGTCATCGCCCCGGACGACAGCAGCCGACGCAACTTGGCCCGACAGGCAAACGAATATGCGGCTCACTTGAGGGATGAGCAACCCGAGAGATTCGGATTCTTCGCGGCATTGCCATGTCTGCTAGACACTGAGGGCGCATTGGAAGAGATTCGGTATAGTCTAGACATACTCAAAGCCGAGGGTGTCACTCTTTTCACTAGATACGGCACCGGAAATCACTACCTGGGTCATCCGGACTTTCGCCCCATCTGGGAGGATCTCAACCGTCGCAAAGCCGTTGTGTTTATTCACCCAACCCATCCGGTTGATACCAACCGCGTCAACCCCCAATTACCTCAACCGGCTATTGATTATCCTCATGAAACCACCCGCACTGCCGTGGACCTTCTCACTACGGGAACAAAAGCGGCCTTTCCGGACTGCAAGATTATCCTTTCTCACGCCGGTGGCACCCTTCCCTACCTGATCTCCCGCCTAACCACCGTCACCAAAGACCCTGAAATGGAGTACAAACCCTATGAGCGCGGCCCAAACGAGATGGTTGAAGACTTCAAATCATTTTACTTTGACCTCGCTCTTTCCAGTTCGCCGGCAGTGCTGACTCTTCTGCTGAGCCTCGTGCCTCATGATCACATTGTATACGGTAAGTCAACCATTTCCCCAGAAGACCCATCAGATACAATGATGCGATTTGATGCTGACATCTGCAGGTTCCGACTTTCCTTACGCTAACAACAATAAAATTGCTGGGTTCAAGGAGGCTTTGGACGAATACCCACTGGATCAAGAATTGAGGGACCGTATCTACTATGCAAATGCCCAGAAACTTCTTTCTCGTTATTGAGCGATACGTCAGCAGTTTCTTGAGAGTACAAAATGAGCAACAGTTTTTTATATAAATTCATACATTCATTACAGTACATAGTATGCTACCAGAAACCGATAGCCCTTGAGCACACACCATGTTCGGTAGTTAAGACGTGATAGGATAACCAAACAACAAGCATGAAAAGGAGATTCAAGTAAGCTTAAGCCGCACTAATATGCACGGCAGAAAAATCAAATTAGTAGATACTACCGGGTCGACACTAGGCTCCGCTCAGATGGATGATTCCACCTCCGCTGTTTCCTTGCAACAATCTGTCTACGTTGACAACAGTCACCTTGAAACAACTTCTGGGCTTCCTCAAGCACAATTCGGAAAAACAACCATTTATCACTGCCCTAAATGCTTCCTCATCCTTGGGGTCTGATATTCGAGAGCACCCAGCAGAGCACAGCCAAGCAAAAGGAGGAGAAATATCTGCACCCAAAATCCATTGTGTTTGGGAGACTTCGCTGTCTGCTGAGACAGTTAGTAAACGAGCATGGGTAATTCATCTAGGTCATGTACTGACCTTGAGGTTCCAGTCCGACCACGTGGGAAACAAACTGCGCCACCAAAAGTGAGCCTGGCTCCAAGGATAAGCCATGGAATTCCACTTCTTCTCGTTGATATACCACTAAATATCGAATAAGCCCTGTCTATCAAGTTTCTCAAGAGTAGAAGGCTTACTGATGCGCATCCTGCATTCCAGACTCGCTTGGCCAATGCCTTCTGAACCTCGTGAATATAAGTTTGCTCCGCCTCTTCTTTGATCTCCACGGCCAAAACACGACCTTGCAATATAGGCTTCAAGATACGAAGGGCATAGTTGACGGAGCTGTTGGGTGATTCTGTATTAGCTCTTTCGGACAGGGCACTTGGCTATAATAGGGGAGATCTACTTCTCTACCGCCATCAACGCAGACGTATGTCCGGTTGCCGAATTTGGTCCCATCAACATAAAGAAATTGGGGAAGCCACTCATTACGGAAGTATTATACGCCCCAGGCCCCCCATATTGATCCCAGTGTTGGGTGACACTCTTGCCACCGCGGCCGATGACCTCCATGTAAGAAAGAAACTGGTTGGTCTTGAAGCCTGTTGCTAGGATGATGATATCAGCTGGAATAACACCATGGTCAGTTTTGATGCCCTCTGGAATAATTCTCTCGATATTTGTGTCAGTCAGGATGAAGCTTTCCTCATTCAGAGAGGCCAGATAGCCGCAATCAAATATACGCCGCTAGATCAGATAGTTAGCGATCAGGAATCAGCATAGACTCTTTGCAGAGCTTCACAAACCTTACAGCCGATCTCATAGTCAGGAACTAATACATTGTGGTACTTGTCTGGCGCAGTTGCTCGCATGTAATGCTCAACCTGGGAGCTACGTCGCTTCCTCAATCTTGCTGCGGCCTTGGTCATTGGAAAAAGGCGGAAGTCTTTCTCAGCAAGAAGAAAGAGCTGCAAGCGATGCAGCCTCATGGCGAACGGAATGTGACAGAAAACCCATTGTATAAACGGGCCATATGTGTAATTCGAAGCTGGGGACACCCAATGTTGTGACCGGATAATCTGGGTCAAGGAATTCACCTTGTGTATAATCGCGGGAACAATCTGAGCAGCGGTGCCTGCATATGAATGAAGTAGAGCCACCTTAGGATTAGTGGACGATTGCCTTAGAGTATGCGGACGCCGGGAAGGGTCATACATCCATTTCCGATAATGATAACGTTTTGACCCCTCAATCTGACATCATGCCTCCATTGCGAGGAATGAAATAAGGTGCCGCTAAAGGTCTCTGCTCCAACGGTATCACAAGGACGGGGTTCAACCAGCCGGCCAGTGGCAGCGAACAGAATCTGACACTCGTGAGTACTCCTTTCCCCGCTGTTGACGTCGCGCAAGTAGAGGAGCCATCTATTGGCATCCTCTTTCCATATACACTTTGTGACTTCAACCGAGTGTATCATCTTATCTCAGAGGCAATATTTATCTCGGACCCTAGTACTGTACTCCTTGATCTCCTCGAATGAAGGCATGGACTTGCTCCAGTTCGGATTCAGCTCAAAGGAATAACTATAGAGAGCACTGGGAACATCACAAGCACAACCTGATGCCACCCAATAAATATCAATAGTCCGCTATAGCAAGGAACTGGAGTGATGTCGGATGTATTCCCCAACACTAACCTGGATAAGAATTGGTGTACCATGTTCCACCGCTGGCTGGATGCCGGTCAAAGAAGCGGATGTCCTCGAATCCATACCACCGCTGGAGAGTTGCGCCCAGAGCAATAGCTGAAAGTCCAGTCCCTATACACGCAATCTGGCTATACGACGGAGTGTCAGACATAGGTAGCATTGTCAAAGTGATGTCGGCGCTTGAAAGAGCGTTGTTTCTGTCCAACCAGTTGGCAAATCTTATAATTGGTGCTACCAAGTATGATGCAAAATAAGAAGTGTAGCCCAGCATTAGACGCCTGTTTCATGTGTGCCTGGATGCCAACTGGGAGTTGAAGTCAAGTTTCTCACAACAAAGGTAAGGGGCTCACGTGAAGGGTGTCTAGCTGCTTCATGGGGTTACACAAAAGTGTAGTTCTATTCAAAACTAGACCAATATTGCACTTAGCGGGAGACGCGTTTGTGACAAGGGATCCTTCCAATAATTTGGGAAGTGTTATACCCAAATAGCCTTTCAGGCGCAAGCTGCATCTTCTCCTTGCCGTCCATCTTACCACCACTTTGGATACAGCATGCTTTGTAGATCACCATTCGGGCAGTATTTCGGACACAACCAGCGCCCTTCCATTCACAAAACCACCATATTTCTCTGCATAACTAATCCCACTGACAGCCAGGAGCAGTATCTAGCAAAGAACATGGTGTGACTTGTTTGTTGATTCTTTCGCGAGACCATATGACTAGAGCGGTCTTGGTCTGCAAACTAAACCAATTGTTTTGATACGACTAGGAACATGAAATCGAGATTGGATCATCTCTCGCCTGCATTTCAGGTACGTCAAGAAAGCCTGAGTGTCAAAGTAAGGCGGAGCATGGTTTATCCCGGCTCTTTGTGCATGTATAAGTTCTGAATATGATACTAATTATCCCGGGATTCATCCGAATATCAGTGCCGCATATCCGGGTTGTCCTCGGAACCTTCCGGCGGAATAACATTCGCAATGTCAGGGGCCTCGGGTGCGCCTCCGGAGTCTAGACATCCCTCCATAAGTCCTCAATCCCAAGCTGGAATGGTGCGTATCAATTCACGTGATCCACTTAAATGGTCATGGGAGCATTTCTGCAAGTTGCGGATCATGGACAAGTCGGCTGCAGGAGAACCTTCTCCCCTGGTCGCAGAGGCTCTCATAAGCAAGGTCGACATACACCATCACTTTTGCGCCTTCGTGCTATCGGGAATATTTTTCGGAGATTGTAGAGGTTAAAGGAGAAAAAGAAAATGTTGAGTCTGATGTCTAAATCTTGAGAGTCTACTAACTGCTTGGAAAATACTGTCCACGGGCGGTCAGGACGAGAGAATCCGGATTTCAGCGATGTGAAAGACTACAATCTAGGCATCGGCGCGCGAAGCCTTTTACACAGGGAGTATTTTATAGCTCATTCAATACTATTGTAAACTCTCAAAGAAGATGAGTAAGTGAAATTTTGACGTGACTGGTCCCTGAGCCATAATATGGGAGACCGCGTATGCTGTGTTGCAATAACAACATCATGCATCGTGTCGATCCCTGTGAAGGAACACAAAGGTCACTACCCAAAGCGCTTCCATAGTATATTTTCTGCCTTTACAACCTCGGATTCATCAGTCTCCGGATGCAACACATTTTCGTGCACAAAGTCTTCCTATAGTGCTCGTAGCACTACTGTGAGACCCCAACTTTTCTTAGAATACCCAGTTCACATTTTGTCTTCTCAGCTGCTTATTTGTGACTTTGTGTGTATCTCTCATCACCAATATCAGCTAGTCATTTTCAATGTCTGCTTTATCATCCAATCAGGACTGCACTCAGGCAGTCTGTGAGAAGGAGTCTGTTGTGGAGGAGGTCCTTTCTGGCTCTACTTCGAGTAGTGGTATAGATGTGCAGCATCAGACAGGAACAGTTGGTTCACCGACATATCCTCCACTTGCTAAAACCATCCTCGTCGCTCTCGCTTTATATATTGCCGTTTTTCTCGTCTCTTTGGTATGCTATGGAAGATTACCGGTCTAACTCTCTTCAAGGACTGACTCTGATTACGGGCTTCTGCAGGACCGCTTGATTGTGGCTACGGCAACTCCGAAAATCACTGATAACTTTCAGAGTATTGGCGATATTGGCTGGTATGGAAGCTCCTATATGTTAGCGGCGTCTGCGTCTCAGCTTACATACGGTCGCATCTACACTTTCTATCCGATCAAATGGGTTTTCCTTCTCTCCATCTTTATTTTCGAGGTCGGTTCCGCTATTTGCGGTGCTGCGCCCTCCTCCTTCATGCTCATCCTGGGCCGCGCGATCGCGGGCCTCGGAACAGCAGGCATATACTCCGGGGCTGTCGTCATTATCGCCCTTACTGTGCCCCTCCGCTTGAGGCCTGTGTTTCAAGGAGCCGTTGGTGCAATAATCGGCATATCATCTGTTTTGGGCCCAATTCTTGGTGGAGTTTTTACAACAGAGGTCAGCTGGAGGTGGTGCTTCTACATTAACTTGCCCCTAGGAGGACTTGCGGTCGTCGCCATATTCTTTCTGCTAGACGTTCCTCCACCTGAGAAAGGGGACTGGAGTCTCAGAGAGAAGTTTAATCAGCTCGACCCCGTTGGAAATCTTCTTATGGCCCCTGCTGTGACCTGTCTCCTTCTTGCACTCCAATGGGGTGGGACCACGTACAGCTGGGGAAATTGGCGCATTATCTTTCTCTTTATTATGTTCGGGACTCTGTTCTCTATCTTTGCATTTGCAGAGTACCGCCTCCAGGAGAAAGCAATGGTTCCCCCTCGCATCTTTAAACAGCGCTCAGTCCTTGCAGGAATTGTGTTCACTATGTGCACTAGTGCAAGCACTATGGTCATGCTTTACTACCTTCCCATCTGGTTCCAAGCCATCAAGAATGTCGATGCCGAAAAATCGGGTATTATGAATCTCCCTCTTGTGCTCGCGATGGTGGTAGGATCCATCGGTTCTGGCTCCCTCGTCAGCCTTCTGGGATACTACAACCCTTTCATGTTTGCAGGCGTTGTTTTCATGTCTGTTGGAGCCGGTTTATTAAGTACATTTCAACCGGACACCGACCATCCGCAATGGATTGGGTATCAGATTATCTTCGGCTTTGGTCTGGGCCTTGGTGTCCAACAAGCGAATGTCGCTGTGCAGACGTGCCTAGATCCTGTCGACATTCCGGTCGGTGCATCGCTTCTAATGTTTTCGCAACAATTGAATGGCGCTGTCTTTCTAGCGGTCGCGCAGAATCTTTTCACGAATTTTCTTACCTCAAACCTAGACGACATTGAAGGCATCTATGCAACATGGGTGATTGCAAGTGGCGCGACTACCATACGAAAGTTGGTGCCTCCTGCAAAGCCGGCAGTGGTTCTGAAAGCGTACAGCGACGCCATTATGAAGACTTTCATTCTAGCGTTAGCTATGTCTTGTCTGGCCCTGTTCCCGACACTTGCTATGGAGTGGAAGAATGTGAAGAGGGTAGCTAAAGGTATTGAGAACGGTGATGACGCATCAGGGAGTATTGAAAGCAAGAGAGAGCCATTGAAGGCGTGCTGAGCTACACCGAGAGAAACAGGGGGAAACAATGGAACGCTTCTTTCAAATTTCCCGATCAATTCCAGTACTGTCCCTTAGATGATATCTATGCAGAAGTGCCTGTCTGTGAAAATATGGGAGCCTTACCTAGCAGCTTGTGCAATAACCACAGTGTCGAAATAGAAGCTTTTACCTTCATTCCATTACAAGCACTATTCGAATGTTTATTCCCACGGTGTAATCGTTGAGTGTAAAGCACAGTTACTGCACATTTATCAATATCCAAGTAATAATTGCCACCAACACAAGAAGGGGCGCAACATTCATACTGGTCAGGTGATAGAGAGTCGCGCTGTTTGCTTGCCTGTTCTACATCATACCTTCAGCGCCCCCCCTTTCCCATTATCAACTGTCGCGCGCAGAACGCTTCGAACTGATGACAACACACCAATCATTGTGTCCACATTTTCCAACTTCAGAAATCATTGCATGCGCCTTCCTCGGATGGGAAAGCAACCTGGGTCTTAGTGACTCAATGTCTCGCGCAGAATACTAAGCGCTGTCTGTTATCAACCGGTAATTGATACGATTCTAGCTGAGTAGAATGTGATCTCCTTGTATTTGCAAGCCTTGACTCATTCAATGACGCTAAAAGTTCAGATCTACAGGATACCCATACCCTTCCAAATCTCAGCGATGACCCCAGAGGCACCTCCAACCTACCTGAAAGCCGGCCTGAGTAGTGAAAGGTAACATCGAATCAATGTTGAGCGCGCAAAAATGTATCGGAGGCAACTGGGTTGGGTGGGAATCCCAGGCTATAGCAGGATTATCGCCCTATCTGGTCCAATGAAGAAAACACCGCATTTGATCATCCAGAGGTCCATCAGGATGGGTAGCGAAAGCAACCCCGCATCAGCTTTGCGAGTGCATGCAATTGAGGAGGGGACGAAGCGTCGGGGTTGAATTCCAATAGGGGCCCCCATTACGCGCGCCTAGTTCAATGTGACCTACAATCACAGGTGTGAATGTTCTCGGTTCATAGAAGAGACATATTGGAAGGCGAATTTAGCCAAGCAGCATCCACTGATTACCGTATGGATGAGCCGGTGGCCACAAATTCTAGTCACCATTGTCACATTTGGCGTCTATTCTGGCTCTAAATCACTCCACCAATTCAGACGCCAACAGGTTTGGGAAGCCTAAGGGCGAAGCATAAGCGCCGCCTGGCAGGATCTCGTCAAATTCAACGTGGTGTGTGGAACGGATACAGTGCATTAGCTTCCGGGCCGCATTCAACAGCAACCTCCCGGTATTTACAGAGCTTGATTGGCAAGAAAGGATCTTCGGACGGCTGAGCCAAGTGTTGCTGTGTGATACCCCACTCACACGATCGGAGGAATGTGATGCCGTCAATGTAGCGAGATAACGCAAATGAGCGTAACGCCCGAACGCCCCCAACCAGCTGCTACAGGGATCGCGGCGGCTAAACTGAGTCACCATGCATAAGGCCATCAATCAGAGTGGTCGAATTTATCGACGGTGTTCTGAGGGTCGCTCTTAGCTGCAGTAGCGGCTCCTAGTTTTTAGCGGTTAGCGTAGCTAGGGTATGCGGCACAGTTAACTCGCAGGCGGGAATCAAGGCGCGCTATCATCCCCAGGACGATTTGTCGTTCTAGGCTTACCCTACTTCACACCATCTGGCAGCATGAGAGAACATCAGTACTATCGCGTCATTGACGGCATTTAAGGGAGGATGGCTCGCCCTTCATCATGATATTCTCTATCTCAAGCTCAATTCTGGAATGAGCATCTCCTTTGTTTTCGGAACATAAGATCTACAACCAGCTTCCAACCGGTGCTTTCGCAGGTATAGGAAAGATCATCCACGTAATGTTCGGTGCATTTCGCTGCAACAACAGTACATCTAAGAATCTGGAATTCATTGATTTATCGAGAAAGGTCGGTATGGATTCTCGGAATTCTGCTGTACTGGTAGGTGATCTATTCGTTTATATGGACGACATTGGCGATGCTAACATGTGGTCATCAGGCATGTGAACCCTGCCGAGCTCAAAAGGTCAGTCAGCCAGCAATCAGACCGTGGGTATATTGCTGGACTAACAGTTGTGAAGCTCAAATGCAATGGTGATCTGTATGGATGCGAAAGATGCCAAGAGTCATCTACCGATTGCACGTATCGCACCCCTACGCCCACATCCTCCACGCCTTTGAGCTTGAAACATCCCGCATCAGATCTTCCGGCACCTCCCATAAAGCGGCGGAGGACAAATGGCGTTGGAGCTCTGCGTATACATTGTCCGTCGCCAGTTGGACCCAGCCCCAGAATACAGTCACCAGTCGTGGCGCCCGAGCCAGTCTTCATCAATTCATACCAAGACTGGGGACAATTCTGCAACATGAACACAACGGAACACCCAGGGTTGAACTTAACTCTAGACGATAATATGCCCTGTTACCCAACGGCGCCTTTGATCTCAGAGGCACATCTGAGGCCCTCCCATTTGGTGTCGCCAGCTGCATCACATTCGAGTGAAAGCGGTCTTAGTGTCTTTGTTCGGAACCCTCATACGCCTGTCACTTCGCAAGGCCCATTTGAGCATCAGGGCCAACCTTGCAAGTGCATTCAGTCCCTTGCCGACACGCTGGAGAAGGTTGGAGGTGACAACGACCAAAGGAGTACTATCGACCACAGTGAACGTCTTGATTACCTGCTCATGTCTTTGCACACCGGTGTTGATACATGTACTCGCGTACTTGACTGCGCCAACTGCGACATCTGTGCCACAAACTCAATGATCCTAATGGCTTTGATTCAACAGCTTGCCATAAGGTCGAGTGACCTTTGCGACCTACTTCTCTCGCTCCAGGATAAGCCTCAGAGGACCTTGCCAGACGACCCAGCAGATCTCGAGCAGGAAGCTAGCGTCTTTATAGGAAGGTACCAAATACAAATCGAGGCTGTGTGTAGGGAGCTTGTCCACACTTTAGCCAACATCCACTTCAGAGACCTTCGTCGGCTGCTAGCCCGTCTTGCTGATTTGATTGGGAAGAAGCCAAGAGCAAATAAGATGCTTACGGAAGCCACTGAGACTTCGGAGAAGGCGTCTCACATACTTGAAGGGATTTTGGTCAAGCGTGCGGCTGACAAGGCAAAGAACCACGAGCTGTACGGCTTGATTACGCAGAGGGGTCCTTAATGTGTTGCTTACAACTATGTATGGTGAGCAAACATCGTTTATGGAATTGCGCATAATAGTTTTCTAATGACCTATCTTCATGTCTAGTTCATTTCAATCCCCGTACTTCCCATTTCTTGACCACCACCAATTGCAAGTTCTTCCTGGTAATACTATGGGCCAAATTGCACGTTTTCGGAGTCTGGAGTTCTTGGGGAAACATATTTGGACTGAGCGTTTTGATTGTCAATATAAGCCTTGTTCATAGCCACTTTTCACCGATATCTGAATACTTACATTCCATATCATGCATTGTAGATGATGCACCTCATCTGACAACCCGTCACTATGACTGAGCGGGCTTGTTTGGTGCACCCTTGACCGGAATTCTGATCGAGCCGTCCTCACGCCTGGCAGGAGCGCCCTTGACAGGAATCCGGATGACACCGTCGCTTTCTTTCTCTGGGGCGCCCTTGACCGGAATTCTAGAAACACCATCATCTCGTTCAGCAGGAGCACCCTTTACAGGGATGCGAATGGAGCCGTCGTCACGTTCAGCTGGGGCGCCCTTGACGGGGATTCGGATAGATCCATCATCGGGAGCCGGGAGGGGACTGGCTAAAGTGGCAGCGATGAGAAAAGCGCTTGCCTGGAGGAAGATTGCCGAGAGCTTCATGGTTGGATTTCAAGTTGGCAACGATAGTAGTACCAAAAGAAAAGTGTGAAACTTCCCTGTGTTGAGAGTTATCGAAGGTACTAAGTACGAAGGAGGCTGAGCGATACCGCTTGCTTATGAGTCCTCCATATCTTAATCCCCTGCCCCTGTCGTCCAATAAATCCAAATCTCTACATATAACGCCATTACACTCGGAATCTCCTCCGTAACTCCGAGAGCCCAACAGGAGGTCCAACCACGTCTAACATTGCGAATCCCCTCCACCCCTCCTACATAAGAGGAAATTCTGCCCAGAAACAACAGCCTCCATCATGAGGCAATCAGCCCGAAGTGGCTTAGGGCACTGTGTTTGCTTGCGAATAGACCACACACGTGCCATAGATAGTAAACGCACATGTACTAATGCGGAACGCGCATATACCTGAACAGGAACGCATGCAGCCACACGAGAGGGGAACATGCATGTTTATAAAATAGGCAGGTCGATAAAGTGGTAGAGGGAGGCCAGACTGCGCCGGGCTGGTTTGAACCCCTCATTTAATATGCTAGTCTGGTGGGGCTTTCGGGGCTGAGTGTGATAGCTGCTCGTTAGGCCGATTGCTACTTCGGAAGATGTTTCGGAGGTGATTGCAAGTGGGATGTCACATTGATTTTGGAGTAGGAAGCGTTGGTTAGTTGGGAGATGTGAGTGGTGCTGTTTGGGTTGATTGGTGGATGGGGTTGGTCTGGATAGGATTGTGGTTATCCGATTCTCGGAGTATGATATCAGCCCATATTGAGACTAGTAGCGAAATAGCTTCATATTACCTTGAGAAGGTCTCTTTAATTGGCGTTGTATGTGCTGTGCCCGCAGTTACTTATTCTAGGAGCCTCTGGAAGCGCCCTACATCCTACATCACTTTGTCCCACACATTCCGGGCGATCCATTAGCCACCATGGGCTTCGAGTACGAACGGTAAACGCTCCTCATCACAAAATGCACATCACATTGAGACTTACGAAAATGTATGCAGAGTGACCAACAACCCCTCCGACCCTGAGCTCGCAACCCCCAAAGAGACAGGCGACGAAGATGACGAGGCTCTCCTACAGCCTAACACAACCAACACCAACAGCCCATATCCCAAATACCACCCCTCCCATCTCTTCAACCACATAAAAGCCCTCCTCCTCTCCACCCCCAAACCACTCCTCATTCGAAATACCCTCATCACCCTCCTCGCCATCTGGGGTCTCATCAACCTCACACAAACCCTCATCCTCTCCATCACCACTACTCACCTTCCCACCCCCAAAACCTGTCACTGCGGCAACTCCACCACTGAAGCCCTCACTTTAGGCTGCAAATTCGACTCCCTAGCCGCAGCCTGGCTTCCACCGCACTGTCGCGACGACGAGCTCACCGCGGAGTTTGAGCGCGCTGGTCCCAATCCCGACGGGAGTTGGACGTACTACGCAGACGATTACCACACGGTACCCATGGCTATTGAAGAGGTTGCTGCGCTGGCAGATAACCAGTCTGCTAGGGTGCAGATGACCAGGGATTGGCATGTCGTGCATTGTTTGTTTTACTGGAGGAAGATGTTCCGGGTTAGGGAGATGGAGGGGGTGATTGTTGAGCCTAGCTTTGATCATGAGGAGCATATTAAGCATTGTATTGGGGTGGTTTTGGAGGATAGTTGGGGAACGGAGGCGAGAGTCGCGTTGGATACCTAGCACTTGAGAGAGGGGGACTTGGTTTGGTATTTGAGTGGGGAGTGCATGTATTGTTATCTATGGATTCCATATACTATAGAAGATATCAGGTTGTTGATTATCACTCTGCGACGGGGTATGGAACCGGTCCGCCTGGAGAGTTTGGTAATCTGGCAGTTAAGATTTCGACTCCATCCGCCGTCACTAGGAGGGTATGTTCTGCGAAAGCGTCAGTACATATAATTTTTTATATCCTTGTAAGAATGGTATGCCCACCGAACTGTGCCGTCCTCTTCCCATCCATCGTCACCGCCGTCCAATTATCCGGCCATATCATATCTCTATACGTCCCCAGCGCTACCATCGGCTCGATAGTAAAGCACATACCCTCTTTCGCTGCCCCGACGGCCTTATTCCCAGCATAATGTGGCACGCTGGGCAAACAATGAAACACCGTGCTAATGCCATGTCCACAGAACGACCGAATCACACTGCAGTCTCTCTTGCGCGCATGCGCCTCAATCACATCCCCATAAGCCCGGAACAACGCCCCAGGCTTGACAAGCTCAATCGCCATGTCCAGACACTCTCGGGCTGTTTCGACAACCCGCACGGAATCGGGATCCGCTTTCGCTTTCTCCCCAACGTAGTACGTCTCGTTTAGATCGCCGTGATATCCGCCATGGTAGAGCGTGACGTCAATGTTTAGAATGTCGCCGTCGACGAGGATGCGCTGGTCGGGGATACCGTGGCAGATGACTTCGTTGAGGGAGGTGCAGACGGATTTGGGAAAGAAGTTGTAGTTGAGTGGGGAGGGGTAGGACTATATTTTGACCTCATCAGTATCTCATTACGAGTATGGTAAAATTCTGAGGAATGTGGATGTGTTAGGTATACATCACGCTCTATACACGCCTTGTGCACGATCTCATCGATATAATCCGTTGTCACCCCAGGTTTGATGGCGGCTGCTGCAATGTCCAGGACTTCGCGAGCGAGTCTGCAGACCTTTCGCATGGCATCCTGACCTGCCTTATCAAGGACGGTGAATTTGGCTCTTCGATCATAGAAGGATTGTGCGCTTTGTGGAATGCCATCTTGCCAGTAATCTGGATGTTGGATGGTGGTGGGGACTGTGCGACGCTCGGAGAGTGGGTAGACGGGTCGGAGCGAGCCGGTGAATTTGAATGATGGGAAGGGGTTGTACAGAATGGTCTCTGATGTTTCTCAGTAGGAGGTGGATGGCACAGATAATGCTGATGGCTTACGCTTTGCTCTGTGGATAGCTTTATGTATTTTCTTGGTCGTTATTAGATTTGTGGGTGAGATGGGTATGTATGTTGCGTACTCACCCAGCTACGCTGGAAGCATTCTTGAGAGCAGAAAAAGCTTCCTCTGATCTCTAATTTGAGGCAGGTGGGACATTGCAGTGTGCTACATTCATTGTCACACCCGTCACCCAGACATCTCCGTTTCGCGACAAACTTGGAGGACATGGTAGTGAGATAGTTGCTGCAGCAGGTTTGTGTAGTACCGAGTCACTATTGAGCATTTTATCCTTACAACTCTGAAATTTGTTGAGGGTTACCCATTAAATATAGCCGGATAGTAGTACTGGCAGTAATAAATTTGAGGCCTTCCCCGCACGTTGTTCCTAGATATACTCCCTGCCATGTTGGGTTGCCTCGATGACAGGTAAATGACCAGCAGACGCCGAATTCGGAACACCGGAGAGGTCGTAAGAACTAATATTATTTGGCGCTTAACGTAGTACTAACACTAACAGACATAGTTGGAAGAGAAAGTACTTTGTTGGAGTCTACTAGTATGGTGTGCTGTGCCACCTCCGGCGGACGTCCGGCGCGGTTAAACTCCGCTTTTGTGGTTGAGAAGCTCATTGGCTGGAAGGTAAAATCCGACATCCGGTTGCATATACCTAGGCATACACTATATTATACTTGAACCTCATTATGCAGCGAGAGAATTCAGCATAACTCCGGTCTGATCAATGATACTGACAGAGAATCTGGACGGCCTAGGGCTCCATTCCCCGGACTAATAGCTAATCCGAGGGTAGTCCCGTGGTTGGATTTGCGGCGAGTGGGGCCGGAGCTAAGCCTAAAGGAGAGCGGGGATGAGTTGAGTCTAGACAAGAACTCGAATGTCAGCATCTTCTTTCTTCGTTCTTTCTTTCCACAACCTGATCGGAAGTATCGCGTCACGGTTAATGTCAGTATCGCGCCTTGAAATTGCAACATGGGATCGAAAAGCCCCGAAGGCCACCGGCAGACTCCTGATGGTATGACACCCGCGAAGCTTTAGAAGCTCCGTTCTGACCTGTCTGCATCATTTAGCCTCCAATTCCTCCGAGCTCAAGCCTGCCAATCCCAACCCCAAGCCCGCCCGCAATGGCTCTCAGTCAGCCGATCTCGACGGCGGAAATCTCGACGATGATAATGACGATGACGGTGAAGCGAACGAAGAAGCGGGGGTGAAGACCTCCGCTGATAGTACTGGTACATTCAGATTACACTCCACAAAGCATTCCATGATCTGCATTCCTGATAATATAATTCGTATAGATAAGAAAAAGAAACGCAAGAGGTCCAAGAAGAAGACCAAAAAAGGAACCCTGCCACTCAAGCAGTCGAGCCCTCCCCGTGTGCTGGTTTCGTCCCTCTTCCCGTCTGGATATCCCATCGGGGAGTGCGTCCCTTACCAGGATGATAACACCTCTCGCACTACGGACGAGGAATTGCGTTACAATTCACGTCTTTGGGATAAGGACTTTCTCGACGAGTACCGTCAAGCCGCCGAGATCCATCGTCAGGTTCGCCAGTATGCCCAGAATGAGCTCATCAAACCTGGCGCAAGTCTCACTACAATTGCTGAGGGTATTGAGGACGGGGTCCGCGCTTTGTCCGGCCACCAGGGACTTGAACCCGGAGACGGTTTCAAGGCGGGAATGGGATTTCCCACTGGGTTGTGCTTGAACAATGTTGCAGCCCATTGGACGCCGAACCCGGGTGCCAAGGATGTCTTTTTAGATAAAAGTGATGTGCTCAAAGTTGATTTTGGCGTTCATGTCAATGGCCGTATTGTCGACTCGGCTTTCACTGTGGCTTTTGACCACACATATGACAACCTTTTGACGGCTGTGAAGGAGGCGACTAATACTGGCATCATGGTATTTCTACCTTCTAATGACCACCTCTGACCACAGCTAACGTTTGTAGCACGCTGGCATTGACGCCAGAGTGAGTGAAATCGGCGCAGCGATCCAGGAAGTCATGGAAAGCTACGAGGTCGAAATCGCCGGAAAGACCCACCCTGTTAAAGCCATCAGGAATATTACCGGGCATGATATCCTTCGGTATAATATTCATGGTGGTAAACAGGTCCCGTTCATCAAGAACGACAGGCCGGATAAGATGGAGGAGGGTGAAGTCTTCGCTATCGAAACATTTGGAAGTACCGGCAGAGGAGTTCTCCATGATGATGTAGGTCTCTGTTTGTCCAATGTGTTTAGCAAGGCTAATGCTCCTCAGGTGGGAGTCTATGGCTACGGAAGGAACACCGATGTCTCAGGTGCAAACCTGCGTCTTTCCTCTGCCAAGAATCTTCTTAAGACTATCGACGCCAATTTTGGAAGCCTTGTCTTCTGCCGTCGGTACCTTGAGCGTCTCGGTGTGGAGAAATACCATCTCGGGGTAAGCAAGTAGGAGATTATAAGATAAACATATGCTGACTCAGTATGCAGATGAGACATTTGATTGATAACGGCATCGTCGAATATTACGAACCATTGGTCGATGTGAAGGGCTCATACACGGCCCAATTTGAACACGTAAGAGCTTTCCGCCAGGTTTATCAGCTGAAGCCTAACAATTTATAGACTATCCTGCTCCACAATGGTGGAAAGGAAGTGATCAGTCGTGGCGATGACTACTAAGCATTGGCCTCAGCTGAAGCCGAAGCGTTGCCGTGACTAATTGAGGCCATGGTTCGGCTTACCTGTTGACTGATTTCCACATTGCCGTGTGGAATTGCTATCTGCTACCGTACAGCCTGCTCTCCGTCATAAGGAAGCATTTGTGCACTCTTCAGGATGTCATCGACACTCTGAAGCTCCAATTGTGCATGTTTATAGTGACATGTCTCTCATTACAGGCCTATATTATCTTACTCTCTAGCTTCTGAACAAAATTTGTGAAGAGCATCGTATTATTCCTGGTATCCTGGCTGTTTTCATCAGTCGTAGATCTTCCCCATAACTTTCTTGCCTCCTTTGTCCACGTAACATTATGCCACAACGCCTTTCATGTATAGTGAAGACAAGCAGGCTTCCAATAGTTACTTCAGTAACAGAAGGCGTAAGTGTTCACCTGAAGCTAGCTCACGTCTTTATATATGTACAAGTAGTCTGCGTTCGTCGACATACACTTCTCCTAATGTATAAACTGACTCATCAATGACCTTATTTTTTAGTATACCTAGCAAGTCTATGGAGTTTGTAACATGTTGAGAGCATTCCTCCGACGTAGCTAGAGAGATTTATGTCAATCCTAAGCTTGTAATCGTTCTATCTTAAGATGATCATAAGCCTTTCGTTTCCTTGTAGGAGTAGTAGTTCTTAGTACTAAGAATATATATCTAGCGGTCAAGTCTTGACGCTTACGGGTCTAGTTGATGAATGTCTCGGACAGCCCTATGTAGTTACAGAGATCTTCGTTCCTGTATATTATAAAGGATCCTTAAGGGAACAAAAATCCCTATTAAGTATTAACCGTCAATCAATTAATAAAGAGAACTTCATTGACTTCCATCGCGAAGCTCTTCAATAGGTCCTCAGAAATGCAAAACTCATTCCGAGGATTCGAGGCCGTGGGAGGAAAAGCAACAGGGCCATCGAATCTCAACTCACAAGGTAAGATTAACGGCCCGTTGACCACGGAAATGTTTCAAATATCGGTAAACTAGATGAATACGCCCCTTCCATTTCTCCAGTTGCATCCTCTTGTTGACGACATCAAGCTTGATCCACAGAATAAGCCTAGTTCTACCATCCGTACATTCCAACCACAACTGCACGTCCACTCTTAGCTGCGACAGGGGCTCTGTTACACCCACCTCAACAACGAATGACGGGCGACCGTCTCGCCTGGTGCGTTTTCTGGGAGAATACGATTGATTGGGTTCCTTGTACAGGCCACCCAATGTTTGCGCTCGTCAATCCCCAGGGCCGCCTGCTAGATATTGAAAATGTCTTCCCCAAGCTGGCGGCCGCCCGTGCGCATTATAAGCGGGCTGGGCTTGGGCCGGGGTTTATGGAGCGGTTTATGCGGTAACCGCTCCCTTTTGTTTGCTTCTTTTTCTTTTTCTCTTTTTCCCGTGGCTTGGGGATGGGTATGGTGATTTTTGAGGAACAAATTTGAAGGAAAGGTGGGGGGGGGGGGGGGGGGGGGGGGGGCGCGCTGGATAGATTTACTGACTGCGGCGAGCGAACTTGGGGGTTGTTGTTGATAGCGATGGGATTGGTTGTGTCAAGTCGAGGAGATATGTAAAACCAGAGACAGAGAGAGTGATAGTTCGGTGTGTAGTAACAGCGGAGTCCATTCCGTTTGTGTTTGTGCAGATTGCCTCTGTATGTTAGCCACAGCAGAGAGTTTCTTCAATCACGAATAACTCTCAATAGATTGTCAATTCCTTGAACTTGTTCTTGCTACCCCCCTTCCGTGAATACATTTGATCCATCAAAGTCATCTGGACTTCTGTTTCTCCCGCCTTGAATGACGGATTGGCACATCTTTTCCTCAAGAGAAGTCGGTAGGGTTCCAGATCCAGCTCTGACTTAATTGCAGAGTATTGATATTATTTTGGCCGTGACTCGCAGGTTCGGCCATCGAGGCCATCGGACTTAGATGATTTCCCAAGGAGTCGGACAAGGTTGATCCTGGTGGGACAGATGGCGGCGGTTGTGCGGACGCCTCGAGCTGCATGCCGGTGGTGGCCAGTATGTCATTGCTCGGAGGTATGCTTGGGTCAGAGTTCTCCCACAGTACTATGAATCGCTTGATTAGACGTACTGAACATTTGAACAGGGATAGTGCAAGGGTCATTCCAATATCGAGAAAAAGGAAAAAAGAAAAGTACACACCTCGCTGTACAAACTCAAGCGCCTCATCAATTCCGCAGACCAAGGGAAACGCATTGGCGACTTCGTCACCCGGCGCCGCCGCGCTCATCCCCTCATGCTGCATTTCGGCTGGACCCTGCGCATCCCTCCGCGCCTCTGAGGCACCCGGGACCTTGGGTGAAAGCTGCTCCGTGCTTGCTCGGTCGTTGAGAATTATGGCCGACACGGACGGGTCGAGGCCCCCTTCATCTGCGAATCCACCACGGTGTGCCGCCGGACGCTCGCGCCCGTTGGGTTCATGCGTCATCCCGTCACTGCGACTCGGAGGGCATGGCTCCGCGGCGGGCTGGCCAAGTAAACTCTGCAATTCTCGACGGAAGATCAGCTCCAGCAGCTCTTTGAGGACCTTGACCGTCTGCGACGATACGACGGAGCAGGCGGCGAGCATTTTCTGCAGCGCAATGGAATTCGCCACCCCGCGCTTGGCATCCAAGGACTGCACAGACCCCAGGTTGCAGAGGGCCACCATCCCCAGTGTCACGCCTGCGGTGAAGTTCTGGATGGCGATGTATGCGGCGGCTTGGGTGGTCTGGGCGGCGCGTAGGACCCTCTGGTACCGTGGCATGATGCTGCAGGTGCGCCGAGCGCAATGCTCGCACTGTTCGAAGCTGGTCGGCCGCGCATCGGAGTACAAGCTGCGAGAGCTCTGAGTCATCAGGCGCCGTGTATATCGGAGAAAAGGTCGGTGGAGGATAATCTGGATATTGTCGTACGCTAATTGCAGGACCAAGGCCTGAAGCTCAAACACTCGACACACCTCCGCTTCATGCCTGGTCAGATTCGAGGTGTCCAGGTCAAGATGGTGCTCCAGTCGGAGCTCCAAGGGCAGCATGTCAAACCATGCGACCAGCTTCGTGTTAATCTCCACAGCCTGGTTTATGACCGCTTCCCACTTCCCTTCGTTAAGATCGTAAATATCGCCGATGATGGGAGCGGCAATAGAGTAGAGCTCAAACTTGTGCCTCTGATACGCGCCCAAGGTAGCGGGTGGCCGGTCTGCATTCGATTCACGATGGTGGTTCAAGCTAAATACCGGATGCACCGTCATCAGATCGTCCAGATCTCGGGGCATGGCCACGGCACAATGCGAGTCGCTGATCGAAGGCGGCCGACCATAGGTGATGGAAGCAAACCTGATTTTTGCGGACGTCAGCATCCACGGTCAATCGATCCTACTGTTCTCCATTCGGAAGGCAACTGCACCTGTCAAAAACATAGAGAGCCCACCAAGTCCTCCGGCGGACTTCAACCACAATCTCATTCGCAGGGCCCCACAGCGCCTCCTTGTGCAGCCCCTGCGCCTGGGCGCTGCGGATGCCCGCGCCAAGTATGGGCATTGCCAGGTTCGGTTTACCAGTGTAGAGGTGAAATGTACTGAGCAGGATGCATAACTGCACACACTCTACCCCTCCTGTGTCTAACATGTCAAAAAAGTGGGATCGGATCTGGTTCAGCATACTCTCCTGCAGCACACTTAATTCTGACCGGGAGATCCCCATTTGCATGCTTTGCTCGTCCGGGGCATATGTGGCCCCCAGTGTGAGCGCCATTAGTATCAGGACTGCAGTGCCTCTCTGCCGGGCAGTTACACATTGATCATCGAGAATCTGGCGGTAGCTGTGCTCGAATGAAGGAATGTGGAAGAGCAGTGTAAACCAGTGAACCGAGTCCCAGTACGATTGCAGCAAGAAGTCCGAGATCGCCCGAGATGGAAGTATGAGACCCGGGAAGTGTTCAGCGAGGCTAGTACTTTCTTCCCTGCTGGCGTGTCCCAGGTTTCGGGTGCTCAGAAATGCCCCTCCAGGAAGCGCAGAAGTGTTCCCAGGAGCCGCAGGTGACGCTTGCGACCCTTGATCGTGCTTCTGAAAAAGCTACCCGAACATCAGTGGTCAGGGCAAAGAGAAATGACGGGTATCGACGGTTACCTGATCAGTAAGCTCTACTGCAGATGCTTGGTGATATTGATCGGGTTCGGCAAGGGATTCCAAATGCTTGTTGAGGCCGTGATGGAAGCCGCGACGGGCTTGATCAACTCCTAAGGGAGTCCCCATACCAGAGCGCAAATGATAGCTGCTTCTATCCCGCAAGCCGGAAGACCTAGAGGATCGGATCGACTTGCTAGAACTTACTTAATCTAGGAGTTCAACGTAGCCAGTGGACAACGATCGACCTACCGCAAAGGTGCCGAGGTTGTCTCGCAGACAAAGCCAGAGCGCATGCATAGAGAACATGGCTTCTCAACATCGCACTGATGGAGCGCATACCGGTCAGCGCGGGGGTGGGAAAGACGCGTCGATCTTGTCTCCTTACTTTTAGCTTCTGCCTTCGACAGCGATCGCAGGCATGCCGTCGTGACGAAGCGGACGGTTTGCCCGGAGGGAATCTCGAGCGAGCCCCATCTGACATGGTTCGACGGGAGGTTTATACTTCAAGCAGACTTCTGCATAAAGAAGACAGAACTTAGACTAGATCTAGCAAGATATGATAGCTTTCCCGTGATCTTAAACAGGTAAGGTGTGCTGGAATTATGTGTGTAGTTAAGGTTGGTTACAGTCACAGTGCTTAGTAATCCACTGGAGTTTTTTCCATCTCTGTCCACCACCTTTCCTGCCATTGGTCGCATAATTGACCCCATAACTCAGTACTACAGTAAGTACTTACTACTAGTAGTTCATGTTATAAGGGTTGCTGGATACTTGACTACCTACTTGCCGTTACTCGCAGTAACACTCCGATTTAGCTGTCTATAGGCCTGCGTCATGCATGTGTCTGTTCCCAAATTACTACCAATGCTCTATCTTCTGCTTGTTCTTCTGACTGGCCTGGGGGATCAATACTAGGCAAGGTGTTGAGACATTGTGAGTCACCCCTGCTGCTTCTAGCCATCGATATATCGTTTTGGTCTACTTAGCAGGGATCTGTTCCAACATAAGGTAATAATCATGTTACGGTTGCAAAAATCCATCCAAATCTATGCGAATCCTATACAAATATCATGTTTACACAGAAGAAAAATAACACAGACGAACGAGAGGATCCAAGTCTTCTCATTCCCGACTGGCTATTTCCTCAATGGTACAGTCAAGACCGGGACACGGTAGTCTCAAAGTCCTCCGGCTCGCGTCCCAGGAGCTCGCCTAGCAAAGGGGACACGAAAGCGCCTTCTCCTCGGCGAAAGGCCTCAAAGGTGGAGGTCCACAACTTCGAATGATCCACGCCATGGTAAGTGAAGTTGGAAGAAACCTGAGGTTGTCTGGCGAATTCATCCACGGAGACCTGGCGAATGCGCACCGTATGATTGGCGAGCTTGGCCAGAATGGCAACCGTTTCCCCGAGGGTCAGGGTTCGCGGGCCGGACAAGAGCACTTTGCGATTGCGATAGGGAAACCCGTTCGGGTCCTGCACGAATCTCTTGATGAGCTCTGCGGACCCTTCCCCAAGTTCCTCACGCTTCACCCACGCGATCCCCTGGCCCGCACCATCGTGGGGGATCTTGATCTCGTCGACGGGCTGCTTCGGATCAAAGAAAGCGGTATAGAGCGGGTACGACTCGGAGTAGAGACCTTCGCGGATGACCGTGTAGGAGAAACCCACATGCTGCCGCGTGCATTCCTCCAGGTATCTTTCGGTGTCCAAGTGCGCCTGCATGACGTGTGCCACCGACTTATCACCTTCGGGGTTCCCACCGTAGCCTAGCGACCCGTAGAAGATATGTGTCACACCCATGCGAATCGCATGGTCGATGGCAGTGCGGTGTCGCTATCCCCCAAGCATATCGCGGTCAGCATGTGTTTCGGACTGGATGCTTCCACATAAGGGGGGGTTAAGTCTTACCTCAGTTCGATATTCATGCTCCACAGACGCGTAGGAGATTAGGAAGAGTATGTTCAGCCCCTCGAATGCAACCTTCAAGCTCTCGTCGTCGTCGTAGTCAGCCTGCCGGAGAACAGCTTGGTCCACGGGCAAGCTCCTGAGTTTTTCAGGACTCCGAGCGATAAACACAAGCTTCTTAGATGGAAGACGTGGCAAGAGATGCTTGACGGTGCTCCCGCCAATACCTCCTGCAGCTGGGAAGACTCCGATGGTGGGGGTATTCATCTTGGATTTACGAGCAAAGACACAAAGTATGATTGACTTGGTCGAGGTTTCTTGCTACATCTCTCAGCTTTTATACTATTTTTTCGAATACATCGAGCATATACCAGAATATCCTGGTGAATTTGTCAGAACCTAAAGCATTTGTCATCCTAACGTGGTGACGTTAACTAGAATGGAGGTTTGTCTTTGCCCCCCTCCGGTCCAAGAAAAGCAACGATCGTAGTGTGGAGATGGGTGAGGGATTCAGCCTTCTATTCTCCGTTTCTTTTCTTTTCCTTTTTTCGTCTATTGTTCTGTTTTGGGGTGTCAGATGCCAACTTCTATAAAAATGACGGTCCGCCGGACCATCCGTTGAATGCCAAGTCCGAGTCCACCGGACTCGGAGCGTGTCCGGTTGTTGCATCATAGCCAATGGTGGATGTGCAGGTGGGAACACCCGGAGACAAGCTCATGTAACTACATCAGCGCCATTAGTAAGAAGGTCATTTTGTAACCCTGGATAGTGCGCGGTGTGGCGTTCGATGAGATCTAAACTATCTGACCCTCACATTACTCACACTTGGGCGTTTCATGGTACTTTAATCACTCAGGCTGCGCTTAGAAATATACACCCGTTTTATTGCCCTCTTTGTACGAAGTAGAACGACTCTCGCATGGAGTGAAATCAAGTTCAATAAAGGTCTGGCAACGCAATCCGAGTACATTCGACTCGACAATACGAAAGCCAACAAAGATGCCTTCCCGCTACCTCAACGCCGATGAAAGTGAGATTGTGGAGATCGCTAACGAACCGGCGAGCGGTGTAAGTTAGAACTTCCGGCACATTGGACGCTTCATTGCTGACGATCCCCTGCAGATTCCCTACTTCACCCCCAAGCAGACTCCGACGGCGGGCACCGCTCTCGTGCCCGCGTCCCAAGACCCTCAGACACCCAAGCTGTTTACGCCGCTGCGTATTCGAGGAATTGAGCTCCAGAACAGAATTCTGGTGAGCTGCTTCGTGTCACTTTTCCTTTCTGTTGTTGTTCAAATCTTGGCAATTCGAGACTAACCTAGAATTCTCAAGCTCTCTCCTCTCTGCCAATATTCAGCCGAAGATGGACATCACACTGACTGGCACTTTGCTCACCTGGGTGGCATCATCTCGCGTGGACCCGGCCTCTCCTTTGTGGAAGCCACTGCGGTCACAGCTAACGGCCGGATCACCCCAGAGGATTCAGGCCTCTGGAAAGACTCGCAAATCGGCCCGTTGAAGAGGATCGTGGACTTTGCTCATAGCCAGGGCCAGTTGATCGGAATCCAACTCTCGCATGCGGGCCGGAAAGCGAGCACTGTTGCCCCGTGGTTGAGCATGAACCGAGGGCCCGGAGCTCCCGTTAAATCGGTCAATGGCATTGACCACGATGGCTTTGCACCGGTAAGAACCCCTCTTCACTCTTTCTTTCAGCCAAGCTTCTGGACTAACCTCTGCCTTGCGTTTGGAACAGCGTCATGGCTGGCCAGACGATGTGGTTGCCCCGAGTGCGATCGCCTTCAAGGATAAGAACATCATTCCTCGGGAGTTGTCTCACGGCGAGATACGATCCTTGGTCGAGGCTTGGGGTGAAGCGGTAAAGAGAGCGGTCCGTGCCGGGTTCGATGTATGTCTTCCATCCGCTTCCTTTAAAGAATGTTCCGTCATCTGACCCCGCTTGATTTCCGTCGCAAGGCAATCGAGATCCACGGTGCGCATGGGTACCTTATTCATGAATTCCTCTCCCCCGCATCCAACAAACGAACAGACGAATACGGGGGAAGCTTCGAAAACCGAATTCGCTTGGCCCTCGAGCTAGTTGACATCTCTCGGCAGCATATGACTCCGAACATGCCTCTCTTCTTCCGCGTGAGTGGTACTGACTGGCTGGAGCACCTGGAGAACGAACCCAGCTGGGACGCGAGCCAGACAGTCCGGTTGGCGGAGGTTCTGGTGGAGCACGGGGTGGATGTCCTTGATGTATCCAGCGGAGGGAATGATCCTCGGCAGCAGATCAAGGGGGGCCCAGCCTACCAGTCCCCCTACGCATTCCAGGTGAAAGAGGCTCTGGGTGATCGTCTTCTGGTGGCATCCGTTGGGGCCATCACCTCCGGTCCGCAGGCTAATGACCTTTTGAACGCGGGTCTCGATATGGTCCTCATCGGCCGCATGTTTCAGAAGAATCCAGGCCTGGTGTGGACGTTCGCTGAAGAGCTCAATGTTGATGTGAAGGCAGCCCATCAGATTCACTGGGGGTTCGCTGGAAAGCGCCGTCACCGGTGACTGCTGCTGGCTTAGAGTTGAAGGAATTAGCATTCCCTGTTACTATTCATGGTTCCTACTTGATTAGATAGACCTAATCCTGCTTGCCAAGGACAAAGAGGTTACTCGCAAAGTGGCTATCAAGATGCTTGCAATATTCAACCACAGTTTGAACTGTTGTAGAGAAAATGGCTAGGAAGCGCTCAAGACGTTCAAAGGAACAACACTGCGGTATTGTTCTAATAATGGACATTCAAATGCCTGTCATGGGGGGCTTTGAGTCGACCTCAAGAATTAACGACCGGCTTTCGTCGCTCTTCAAATCAATACTGGCCCTTCGACGTCAACTTTTGTACCTAGCTTGCTCAGTCAGCCTATTACATGTAGCGAATAGTTTTGAGGATCATGAGAAATCAAGGGTCGCCCTAGTTCGCCGGCCTCTAAGTGAATTACGCACGAATTGGTCTTATGTTAGTCCATACCTTATCAAGGCATGGCATGATGAAAGAAATAGATGAGCACCCCCTCCTTACTGGGCATACTACTCCAGAGGTCTTACCGGTATGGCTGTGGTTACTCTGGGCCAATGGGGGTCCTAACCCTTCTCTGTCTACGAGGTGGTGGAAAGTCAGGTTCAGCAATTTGCTCTCTTTCCCTTATTCTCTGTGGAAGGTTGGAAGCGATGAAAGCAACAAGGCTTAACAAGCATATTTCTTCCTGTCTCAAAGCACATCAAGAGAAATACTGTGGATCTAGAAAGCGTAAGCAAGAGGCTCAATGATGCCTACAAACTAGCTAATAATTTGTAGAAAGGAATATCTCACCCAGCGAGTTAAACGCGTGGCAGCTAAGATTTAAAGGAAACCGAGGATATCGTGCTTTGGATGATCTGTATGATACCACGCACGGTTTCAAAACCAACAAATAACAAATAAAGTACGATAGTACCTCTAGACTGTTGTCGTTGTGGCGAGTCTATCCAGGTACCTTTCCTTGTGACATCTGTGTCTATGTTATAGGACGATTGGCAAATTAGCGCCAGCCTTCCTACCCCGCGCCAGCTGTTCAACACATCGCACCTTCCGCTATCACGAATACCGTATGTGATATTGAGAACCGAATTGTCATCAGAAATGACTCACCTTCAGGAAGAGCATATCGCACGCGTTGTTTGAGCAGCGCATATTCTAGCCTATCTTACGAGAGGGAGAAGCCACGCGCAGGCCGAGAAGGCTGAAGATGCAGCTCCCAGTGATACAGACAGTGACACTGAGATTGAAGCGGCAGTTGATGATAAGACGGAGACTGGGGCAGCAGAAGCTGTAACTCTATCCGCGTCAAGGGATTCTGTTCTGCGGAAGTTTCTAGACTGTATTTGCCAGTTGCTGTCGCCGTGCAAGGGATGGGACGGGGTTACTGCAGCTGCAATGCGCGAAAGCAGAGATACTGTTTATGTGGACGTGCAAGGAATGATGGATTCGGTTCAGATTGCGGCGCCTTTGATCCTGCGACACTGAAGTATTGTCGGATGTTAGAGGACTATCTAACCTGTTGTGCCAGCACCAAAGGTATGCATGTGCGGAGTAATAAGATTGGATGCAGCCATGACTAACTGGATATGACTCCCTGGCAGAGCTGAATAGAACAGCGGATCCCATTACTGACTTCGAGGCCGCTTCGATCAACTACACAGCTAGTCGAGTTGACTACCGGATCGCCGCCTGCCGAAGAACCTACGCAAGCAGTCATAAGGATACGGATTGGCACCCGCAGGCATGGCCTGGACGTGAGTCGGCAGCCCAAACTTGGACAACGATGGCTGAGCTTTTGCTGTGCTTTGATAGCAAGAGAGTTACCGCAGATTTTAGGTCTCTTTTGGTACAAAGGGCCTACAGCTGTGTCTGTTCAACAGAAATGCAACAGTTACTTCTGGATGCACTTGGGCCCAAGGTTGGTTCGCGGCTTTGGGTGTGTCTAAAATTCGTTGCCAGGCCATTGACGGACTGTAGGCGTTTGCGGGAAATTGCTCTTTGGGAGTCACAGCTTCGACACAGTCGAATTTCTCTAGTGCCTTCCGCGCCAAAGACGACACTTGCTATGGAACTGGTGGTCGATATTGCCACAGCTTGGGAGCGATTGGGTCTTGGAGTTGCAACCAAATCAGTCATCGAATTGCTTGATCCCCATAGACAAAATTTCAAACAGGCCTGTGCCAGGTCTTTCTCACTGCATGCTGAAATGCAGTTCATACGGCATTACGAAGAGTGTCGTGGACAACAGAGAATGTTGGAATACTTTGGGTGCAGCAAAAAGTCTTGTCTCCTTTGTGAAACGTTCCTGGCTGCGATGAAAAAACCAATTGAAAGTCGGGGTAGGCATGGCGTGTGCTATCCTGCCTGGGGAGTTCCGTGCTCAAATTCGGATGCTATATATCTCGCTACCATTGGTTTAGAAAACGACCTTCTAAGACGCATCCGAGGCTCAGTCATAGAAAGGAACCAACCAGGTGCAACGGCGGCCTTACCAAATGTCATGCAATCGGACATTCTGTCGGACTTTTCAAACCTTACGCGGGAAGAGTGGCACCAAAGACAGAAGTATGTGGATACAGATAAAGCCGAGCAGACCAAAAACTGGACAAAGCTGCAACTTAAGTGAGACCGCCCTGTTGCTTTTCTAAAGGATAGGTGACTGTTGATAACTGACAATAACATGACACAGCGAGGGCAAGACCCAAGATTTACACACGAGGACTGACCCACGCCCAAACTTTGAACCTGAAGACTGTTGCGTGATGTGTAATAAAACGCCAGCCCGGCGATGTGGGTGCTGTCGCAGCATATATTATTGTTCCAAAAATTGCCAAGAAAGCGATTTTCCTTCCCACAAGTTGCTTTGCAAGAAGTTTGCGACCCAGCCTGGCCGTCCATCCCCAGAGCACAGGCGAGCCATTTTCTTCCCAGTGGACAAAGCAGAGCCTATTCTGATATGGATCCTTACTAAGCGCCGATACGACGAAGATTCAAGAGGGTGGTGGACAGATGCACTAGTGCATTCATACCTTGGTCCTGGTTCACCGAATACAGGAAGATTGCATGTGGAACACGACGAGATACGAGATCGAAACTTAGGGTCTGGTTTCGCTTCATCTACCCTGCGGAATGAAGGATACTGTGTTACTCTGCTGCATCGCGACGCATATCTAATCGACAATTCGCCCCCAAATCAAAGCATACTGGCTTCTGTAAGAGCCTCATCCACCATGAGCCCTCCCCACGCATACAATGGCTCATGGTTGCGATGCGGCAGATCCACCCAGAAGACTATGCCGACATAAAACTGGCCGATTTTCGGCATCTGATGGACTACCTAGTAAGGTATGCAAACACGGATGTCAGAGAATCTGTTCCAGATCTGCAGTATCGGGCTCATAAGGTTGTTCGGAGCGTGAAGGTTTGCTGCGACGGGGAGATAAAGCTCCATGGATCGGAGCCGTTCGTTTCAATCGACATAAATCGCTCAACCCGGATTTCTCTTTCTGCTAGGCAGCGCGATTCTATTTCGCCGATTTCCGCTCTTCTCGGCATACCGCTCATCTTTTGGAAAGACCCCAACCCTGTGTTCCACCATGACCCTCCCGGATGGGACGGAATATGGTCCGCAAGCAGCAATCAGAATGTGGCATTCATGATGATGGAAACCAACCCTTTAGACTCTTCATGGGGCTGGGCTCCTCTGTATTGGAACCATGATATTGGAAATGTATGGGTTGCACGTCAAGACGAGCAGGATCTGGATGTGCGCGAAGTAGCGATGATGTGCCGCTTTGCGAGGCATAAACTCCAACGAATGTTCAATAATGTGATGATATCAGAAGGCTTCACCCTGCTGGATAAGAAGCGCGTTTTGAGTTTTATTACACGCGAAAACGTGCGAGCATTTTGGGAGGAGACCGGTGGTGATGAGGCTGCCAGTAGCTATGAATCGGTTGCCTCCTAGTTAGCTTCGATGCGAGTGGTCCATCGCACTTAGAATTATGCATGTAGGTCAGTGCCATATCGATCTATATAAACTATAAGGTAGATTGTCTAATTCAGAGCAAATCATCTCGACAGCGCGTTGTTATAAACGGCCACTGAGGAGTTCCAAGTCTACTCATTCGAGCTCAAAACAAGTAAATACCCCAATACATATTACATCAACTTACCTTCGCGGGCATTTTGGTGTAGCAGACCACTTCGAGCTTACTGGGATTCATAAGATGCCGATAGCTTTAGCGTTGAGGCCGATAGTAGGTGCAAATTTGTGAGCTGCACGGGCTATTTGAGGAAGCTCCAACGACATTCGTAGAGCTGATACGCGGAGATAGAGTGTCCGGCAACTTTTGGCGGATCTTCAATTGCCGAGCCGGTACTTGAATACTATGGCATTTTGCTGACAATCATGACGTATCTGCTGTCCGCCACCAGCAAAGAAAGTCTCATATTTTATGAGGTCGAAGTTGTCTTTTCCCCCATATTTGAATTGCTTGTCAAGGATTATATGCCAGCTCGTGGAGGATTTGCTTTGTCGGAGGTCGAAGCTGGCCAATTCGTAGTGAAGGGTTCTGGCTTGCAAATGTGCTGCGATGACAGTTCCAAATTGGGCAGCGATAATGGCGTGGAGAGGCTCATAGGAAGGCTCCAATAAACACGGCATATCATGTAAACTACGAGCCGGGCGTGGGGTGAGAGGGGTAAATGCAATGCGACTGACTCGGTAAGACGCCTCAAGTCGGTGCGGCATTCTCACCTCCCGAACATCTTGACTCTTCATCCTGCAAAAACCGTCTTACCACCAGTACTGCTGCCAAACGGGCGAGCTTGCTTCCAATCGTTGAGGCTATTGATTAACAGAACTTCTCCAGCAACTGTCAATCATGGCTCGGCGTGTCCAATTCGAAGGTACGTCTAGTCATAAAGGTTTCAGCTACCATTCATAACCAATTCTTCTGGGCTCAAGCCTCACACGGCAGGCTAGCCTTGTGCCTAGGATTCTAAATGGCCATGGCGGCTCCACATGCCGGCCGTCATAACCATTTTTTCTCCACAGCAGACGAAGCAGGAATGCCCTTGATAGGTGAGACTTTCGAGCCGTTAGACCAGTTTCTAGCCGAGAGACACCAGGAATTAGCTGCAGACCTCTATCCGAGCCCACTGGCTGCTCAGTCTCCAGTCGTAAAACTTGCAACCTGACCTTGAGAGTTGAGCGTAATGAGAAATTTAAATATGGGGTCCTCTGTCATCTTGGGTTTTTTCTCACTCTTCACAATTCCGACCGTGGGCAGACGCAGTAGACTCGAACATGTCGCGCCAAGTTGACAGGCTGGCTGAGCCAGCCGACAAAAAGAAGATGCGGCTCATTGTAGCCAGCTGCAGCAGGTAAGGAATTCCGTTGTCGGCTTAGATGCAGCCAGGCCTATCCTGGTAACAAGACGAACGTCTTTCGGACTGACGGATGTCGATAACAGAACGGGTACTCTGGGTCTCCATGAAGCCCTAGAGATGATTGGATATACACCATATCACATGATCGACCTGATGCTCAAGGGTAGAAAGCCTCACATCAAAGCCTTCACAGAGGGCATCCTAGCTCATAATAATCGATTCTCTGGTATCAAGAGATACGAGACGCCAGACCTTGATCGATGGATAGGGAATTGTGACGTTCGTTGACCTTGATATCCGCTGTAACCTTAACAGCCGTGCGCTGACTGCCAGGTGTACTAGTGCTTGATGGAGATACCAAGCTATATTGGGCTCCGAGCCCTGGCTGGTTATATTGAAGACCCCGACGTCAAATTTATAGTGACTGAGCGCTCGCCTAACAAATGGGTCAAATCGTTCAACAACACGGTTGGTGAAGCGATCTTGGCGGGCCACAAGTTTCCCCTCAACATTCTGAGGCGCTTTGACTCAGAAGTGGATCAGTTCTTCAATCTGGCCGAAGTGATGTACTGGGCCTATTCTGACGGAACAAACCCCGGCCATCCGAACAACGAAGCGGCTCTTCGTAAGAACTATGTTGAATAGTAAGAGTTGCTTTTGGCTTTGACGGTGATATCTGGGCTGATCATAGGCAATAGCATCCAAGAAGTGAAGAAGACACTGCCAAAAGATAGACTTCTTGTCGTCAGTCTTGAGGATGGACTGGGCTGGGAGGAGATCTGTCCATTCTTAGACGTGCCTATTCCTGAAGAGAAGTACCCCCGAGGCAATGAGCCAGACAGATTCCACAAAATTATTGAAGAGTATCTGGAGCCAAAATTGAAGAATTCCATGATCAACTTAGGCACATTTGTGGCCACAATCGCTGGGATAGGTGGCTATGTGGGCTGGAGGTTATATCGCGGGCTTTAGGCTCATCAGCGCTCCCTTCTAGGGTGTCGTAGGAATATAATGATGACATTGACCGTGTAATTAAGATGCTCACTTGGCTGTGGGGAATAGCTAGTCTTTATAAATGGGATCTTAGCGCGATGGCGTGATTTTGCTGCGATTTGGCTCATCGAGCCCGACCGCAGGATGGGTAAGTCCACAAAATAACTGTCTCACGGGTAGGCGATATAGCGTCGTATTCGCCAGGAATGAATTATGATCCGGCCTTCTCTAGTTATTATCACTGTGCATACACATTAGCTTTTGAACAAGACCCGTAGTTGGGTAACCACTTGGAGGCAGATACAGGTTCAATCCGGTCGCAACACTATTGCAGTGTCTTATCACATAAGCTATAGAACAAAGTGCTTCGGAGGAATAAAGTGCAATGCACAACTCTTTGGATAACACAGAGACTTATTATTATCTCGGTTCCAGTAGAGCTTGACAAACACTGGGCTCGAAGGTTGGGATACTTGGAGTTTCACAATCAAAGTGTGGAATTACTCGGTCCAGTGATCAAGTCAGCGATGGCTGTATACCTCAGGCCTCCACTGTTCCAACACCCCACATTCTTGTTCTATACTACTCCAACCAACAATCATCACTTCAGTTCAGTCACGTCGATCCAACGAGCCGTGCTTGTAGGGGCATATGAGATGACCCAAATGGCATACCATGAAAACAAAGAACGGCTAGACAGCATCTGAAGCAGTCATCTTGTCGATTCCATTGTAAGTATGCGAAATAAGTTATCAGAAGTCATATGCACCCTGACCAAGATTGGCAATTGACACAATGTCGGAAGTGAACATGACAGATGGAATACAAGTATCGCCGATTTCAGGCAACAGTGAATCAGTGGCCGATCACGAATCACACCGTTGAGGCTGGTAGAGAGGCTACTAGGTGGAGAGATAAAAGCTCCATGGTAATGGTCCACTTCCATCAGACCCTTAGTGTAGATATGATCTTCCGCGATCTTATTCGATCTCTTTTACTAATTCAAGCAGAGATTCATAATTATAGGATTGACTATCCAACTGGAAGAGTGCTTATCCGTACGCATACCACTGACATCATCCCGAGGGTTCCTAGCCGATCCGCAGTTGCGATCTACTGAATAGCGTATCCGCGGGAAGCCGATCGGGCAATAGGCTATATATTCTCTTAATCACAGAGATACCCCTCCTAACCCCTCAATAGAAGCCTATATTGGCACCATATCCTGTATAGGCGGCTTTTGTTTCGATGCTATAGCACTGGGAGGAAGATAGCATCCAAGAGGACACAATGCCGTCACCATCATTCACCCTCGCCAACCACACTCCCCACCTGATAATACAACCTTCCGACGCTGCTCTCTCCCCACCTGAGAGCTACCTGTTCGTTCAGGATGGTCTTATAATTAGCTGTGGGATCCTCTACGCCTTCTGTTACATATTTTGCATGATTCGCACATACAGTGACCGGACATACCCGTCTGCGTCAGTCAAGGGGATCCAATTCATGAGCCTAACACTTGCCTACGAACTTTTCTACGCGGTGATGACTACAACTACCACCTTTGAGCTTCTTGCATTTCTGGCATGGTTTCTCCTTGACGTTGGTTTCGTCGCAGTGGCAATATGGCGAGCGCATGAAAAGCGCGAACGGGCGTGGCTCGTACGGAGAATAGTGGGCTTCGTACTAGCGGGCGTAGGCGTGCTGAAGGGATTGACGATGCTGTGGCCAGATGAGAGGGAGCAGGTCACAGCGTACTGGACAGGGATTCTGCTGCAGCTGCCGATCGGATGGATCTGTTTAGCGACCCTGTGGAAGGAGTGGGATACCAGAGGTCATTCGTTGGAGATCTGGTATGTGCTTTGTAATTGACTGCTTGCGTTTTACACCGCTGTAGAAGATGCTGACGGGGATACCAGGCTCATGCGATACTTGGGCTGCTATACAGCCTACGGGGTTTTCTTCTGGAGGTATTGGAATGTGCCACAAAACTGGGAATATGTGGCGTCGGTGTGGAGTACAGGGATTATTTTGTGGACACTGCTGCCTGAAACGGTCTATCCATTTGTATATGTCTGGGTGCATCGCACATCCAAAGTTAAGGGCGAGTAGACATCGCATCAGAGAGTTCTAAGCAGATCAGCAGAATAGCTTTGGGGACATGGTCTATACAATCTAGATAAATGGAAAGAAGCGATTAGATGTTTCAGCGCAAGAGCCATAAAGTCGTTTGCAATGATGAAATAAGACGTTTCCACTTTTAAAAAAAAAAGAAAAACAAACAACCAGGCGTTTATCCTACAAGTCGTGGCGGTGTTGGAAAGCGAAACTCAAGCAGATGCGCCCGTGCGCCAACCGACTCTCGACGTTGCTGTCATGTGGATCGAGTCTCCACTGCGGGCGCCCGTCACACCGATGCCTGAATCTCTAGCATGATCTCCCTCGAACTCCTCTGTTTCATACTAACTCACATCCTGTCCATGCAACATTCTGCGCAATTGACTTTGCTCCAACCACTGGACTCGCAATGCTCTTCATGCAGCTAGGTCACCGAGTACCATGGCGCCGAGACATTGGGCGGCCCGGCGAAGACGAGGCTTGGTCTTCGTAAGGCACAATTCAATCTGTGAGAGACAATGGGCGAATCGGGTCCGCAAATCTGACGAGGCTACTAGAAGCCCATTATAGATCATAATCTTCTCTCAGGGCACTCAGAATAGCATCGCAATTTGTTGATCGCCAGTCCAGCACAGCACTCCGATGTGTTTCTGTTTCCCCGATTGCGGTCTGAATTCTTGCCAGCTCATACCCACTTCAACCCGGAACACCGCATCCCAATCAAATGCACACAACTTTCGTGCATCCCAAAACACGTTAAGAAGACAACCTTGCATCTACATATGCAACTGACGTGGTTTCTGGGCGCTAGTTCAGGCGGCTCTGAGTTGGCTTCGAGAGACTTCAGAGATCCACTCATCCGCCCATCCCTTCATCCCTTTCTTAAAGACAATCCGTGCCGCAGCAGCACAAACATTCCTCATCTTCACATACCTCCCCACCTCAACCAGCTTATCTACTCATCTCATCAGCCATTGGGCTAATTGATGAACAAAATGGGCCAGAAGAACTACAAGCGGCTCTACTACAACCTCCTGCGCTCTCAGGAAAGTGAGGCACAACTTCAGGAGATCCCGATAACAGAATACCCTCAGCCAGAGATAAGGTCAGTCAAGTCATTGTATATTTCTTGCAGATGGATCCACTAACTTTGGCGTTCATCTAGCTGTTACACGACACCAATTGCCACCGTTGTCATCGGTCAAACCCACTTCAAGATAGCTGAATACCACCTGCGCCCTTATTCAAGCTTATCACACAACTCATCGGAACTGCGTATCAGCGACATTAACGAAGACATCGGACACACGTTCATCCACTTTCTCAGCACTGGCTGCTATGAAACCCTAAAACCAACGGATCTTGGCCCGGAGAAATGCCCCTGGGCTCGCGAATTCGAGCGCAGTGTTTATGCCTATCATGCTGCGAGGCGGTACAGCATCTTCGGACTCGAAGAGCACGCCAAACGGTATATGCTGACTTTCAGTGAAGAGGTGTCAACGCGCCAACTTCTGAAGACGGTCAGCAAGGTGTACTCTGAACTTCCAGGCCACGATTCATGGTTTGAGAGTTTCATCCGGGATAAGCTCGCTGCTGCTTTCGAGAAAGATGAATTCAGCTTCAGGTACCGAGTTGTGCGCGACGGCCTGGGCTCTGATGACGATTTCAACCGTTTCTTGATGTACACGACTTTGGAGATCTACGCGGATAAACTGACTTCGCTGCGGGAAACTGCACCAAACGGACACCACCAGACCAACGGCCATACGGAAATCCCTTCTGAGGAGAAAGTTCCTGCGGAAGAAAAGCAGTCGACCACCGAATCTCCTGATGATAAAGAGGAGAGCTCACCACGGTATCCCGATGAGCCGCTTTCCGCAGATGACACGCCAACTGTCGTCAATGCTGTGCATTCACGGCCCCACTCGCCGATCCCACCCTCAACGGCTTTCTTAGCCTCTCCAGCCCAAAATGGATACAATTGGGCTTCATCTTGCAGCGATTCTCCACCCAGGGAGTTTCCGACATTTGCTCCTTCACCTCCTTTGATTAGGCGAGAGACTGTGGACTGGGCAGATCCGGATCCAGAGCCAGAGCGAGAACCAAGCTTTCGGCCAGAGACGGAGCCACCTACAGATCAAAAGCCAGATCAGGAGCTTGAGCCGGAGCAGACGTCAAAGCAAGAGCCCGAGCAGAAGCCAGAGCTGGAGATAGAGCAAAGGCCCGAGTCGGTGCTAGAACAAGAGCCAGAACCCGAGCCCGAGCCCAAGCCCGAGCTAACGTTCGAGCCGCAGCCGCAGCCGCAGCTACAACCACAACTGCAATCCCTCCCTCCACCGGACCTCAAACGAAAGACAGAACCCGAGCCCGTGATTAAAACGGAGCCAGAGTTAAAGTCAGTACCACTCCCGAAGCCGGCGCCTGGAAACCAGGCACCACCGGCAGAGCAGCCCGCTCAGCCTAAAAAAAAGAACAAGCCCAACTCACACAGAAGGAAGAAGAAGAACGCCCAAATGCATGCAGCGGCTGCTCAGCAAGCTGGGCCACAAGCCAACGGGTCGGCCGCGAAGCCGTCATCCTGATGGTAAAAGTCCTAAGATGCGGTCTGAGACTCTGCCGCTGTTCACCAAACCCAAGTCCCACGCTCTTTTGGAATATTCTCAAGTCACCCGTCGGTCATATATCCTCGGCTTATAAGGATATAATGGGTATCATTCACTCGTTTACTACATTTCTTATGTTGATGTACTATACACTCTTTGCTATTTATGATGGAATTGCTCGCTCATGAGCGAAATTCCGTCCCTGAGCTTGTGTTGTAGAGGGATGTGGGCAGGAAATTCCTTAACCTGGACTTCTCTCTCGCACATACCGCATCAATCATACAGAACAGTACCGCTGTAAAATGTGGGACATATACCATTCTCTCTCAATCATTATTCCCGATTCATGGAAAGAAAGCCGATAAAATCCTTGTAGAATAATGTCCCTGTAGCTGGAATGAGAAGAATTCCGAACGAATAAACACTTCATCGGCTATCATCCTTTTAAAATAGCGACAAACGTCAGATTCCCCACTTATCCCCAATAGGGTTACTTGGGCGGACATCCCAATACGCAATGTTCCGAGTATATATATATTTTACTGCATCAGGAAGCAGAAAGACAACAAGTCACTCGGGTAAGGCTGACACGGGTGTCGTTGCCTAAGGCTGTGAGCGAGGATGATGGAGACAATCCCCTCGGAATGACATCACATCTTCGATTCCCGCATTCACCACATCATTAACATTGCATATTCATTCTAGACGTTCTAGAATGGTTTACCCCTGGAACACCTGCTTTTGAAAATTGAGGCACAATTTCTGGTAGTGTGGATGAGCTCCAGGCCGAGATTTAGGATTGTCATTCTGGCGTCATGGGCGTCGCAGCAACCAGCGCCGTGAGGATTGCTGGCTACCATCATATTCACGTCATGGACTCAGACCACCATCATATCAGGTCCACAAGATGCAAATATCCTTGCATCGTCAAATCCCCAGTTAAATATGTCCATTCCACCACGATCAACCAGTTTCCTGGTGTATATAGCTCCCTCCCGGCTTCTCTCACGACAGATCCCATATCAAACCCTCCAACTCCACCGCAAGAATTTCTCCAGCCTCAATCCCACCGCTAATATGAAGATCGCTATTACCGGAGCCCGCGGCACCGTAGGACGCGCCGTTGTCAGAGAGGCCTCTCAGGCCGGCCACTCCACAGTCCAGGTTGATCGGACCGATACTGAGTACGATGGGACGCCCAATTCCGAGATGAAGACCGCAGACACGGCCAATAACTACGAAGCCACGCTTGAAGCCTTCAAAGGTTGTGATGCCGTTATTCATCTTGCTGCCATACCAGACCCCATAGGGAAGGATGACCAAGTGGTACACAACAACAATGTTACATCGGCATTCAACGGCTTCTATGCTGCTGCACAACTGGGGATCAAACGCTTCTGCTATGCGTCGTCAGTAAACGCGATCGGTCTCGAATATGCCACGCGACCGCTTCAATTCGAATACTTCCCCGTTGACGAAGAAGCACCGCCCAACCCGACAGATTCTTACGCACTGGCTAAGCAAGAAGCTGAGACCCAAGCAAGAACATTCGCTCGATGGTTTCCCGGAATGAACATCGCGTGTATGCGTATCCATGCTGTGGCGTCCCGTGAGGAGGCACAGAAAGGACACAATGAGAATTGGGAGGACTCAGCCGTTAAGAGCTTGTGGGGATGGGTGAGCCCGGATGCGACGGCAAGAGCCTGCTTGTTGTCTGTGGAGAAGGCTGAGAAACTCAATGGATGTGAGATATTTAATGTTGTTGCTCCAACCACGACGCAGGACACGCCATCGATTGAGCTTGCGAAGAAGTATTATCCCGATACCGAGGTTCGGCACGAACTCAAAGGAAACCAGTCTTTCTTTACAGCTGAAAAGGCGAATAGGATCCTCGGATGGGTACATGAGGAGTGACTGGCCGGTAAGACATGTCGCCTATAGAAGCGTTTTCTTCCGATATCGAAGTGAATGAACCAGATCAGTCTGTAATGCCCAGCAAATAGCAATGCCGACTTGTGAAAGTATAACAATCCGTACTATTCTCGCTATTATAGTAGATTTAGTTTCTTCCCACGAGTCATGGTCGAATGGGGTCTTTAAGCTGCTTATCTCCCCGATCTCGCCAACTGGCAGGCTCATCACGCAACTGCACCCCTCCAAATGACGCCATCTCCACCAATGCACCATCTCCCGCTTGGCTTAGGAGCATTGATCAACTGCAAAAATGTAGACCGTATTGCATGAAGAATACTATCCAGACATAAACTCATTATGGCCCATTATCATTACCTCAATTATTGCATGGCTCTTGCATGGCTCTTGCACGTTCAAAGACTATCCAAATCACTCACGATGAAGCAATTGAAGTCCTAAATCGCAACCTGGGACACGGCTGACTAGCCAAGGAATCGCACTCGATCTAATCATGCATGAAGGACCCTCGCCTAGACTGGTTAGTATCTGATCACACGCGGCGTGAAGTGCAGAACATGAGTGGTCTGCCATGAGGAGGTCCTTGCATTGATGCTCCGTTATCTCTCGTCGCGAGATATCTTGGAAATGGCGTGCCTTGGGTTGGTGGCTGCGAGCTCGCAGCTCGCAGCCTTTAAAGCTTCCGATCGCGGCCTACTACGAGGAAGTATGGGAGTCTGCAGTTTCTCTACCTACTACCGGTAATATGGCACCTCGAAAGGATGTCAGTCAAGAGACTGCCGATCAATTCGATCAGCGGCAGGACTCAGACTCTTCGCAAGGCCTTGCCTCTCCGAAGGACAAAGCTCAGGTCCATACACGCCCGTACGAAGATGCGACGGATGAGACCCTTGACAATCCCTTCGCCGACCCTGAAGTTGCGGAGCGCTATGCTCTCATCTACGAGAAAGCGCAGTACGAGTGTCGGCACGTCTTTGACCCAACACTTACATGGACAGCGGAAGAGGAGAAAGCACTCGTCCGGAAATTGGACTGGAGAGTGTGTCTATGGGCTGTAGGTTAATGCGATCCTTGCTTTACTTGGAAGTATGCTCACTACGGGTGATAGTGCGTGATGTTCTTTGGCCTTCAGGTTGACCGAGGAAATCTTGTCCAAGCTGTATCGGACAATTTGCTGGATGATCTTGGTCTCACCACGAATGGTGAGCGCATCGCTTCATCTACCTACTAGGTCTCTGACGTGTGCAGACTACAATACCGGAAACACAATCTTCCTTGTCGCCTTCCTTCTAGCCGAGTTGCCTTCTCAATTGGTGTCAAAGCAGATGGGTCCCGATCGCTGGATTCCCACGCAGATGACTATCTGGTCAATCGTTGCTGCAGCACAGGCTGCTTTAAGTGGAAAGAAATCTTTCTATGCAACGAGAGCGTTGTTGGGGATTCTTGAGGTGAGTGAAATGCCCTTGATTGAGAGGTCTTTCTAACCTGTACAGGGTGGTTTTATTCCTGACATTGTCCTCTGGTTATCTTATTTTTACACTAGTCGAGAACTACCAACTCGGTTGAGGTGAGATTCTACCTCTTCTATCTCACTCAGCCATTTACTCACAGTCATAGTATTTTTTGGACTGCTCTATCTTTAACTACTATCATTACCTCGTTCCTCGCATTCGGTATTCTCCACATGCGTGGTGTTCAGGGCATGGCTGGCTGGAGGTATGCATCGTGCTTTCCCTTGCTCTACAAGTCTAATAGAACCTACAGGTGGCTTTTCCTAATCGAAGGCCTCATCACTCTTATTATTGGCCTGGCATCCTACTTTCGTATGCCTGCCTCCGCTGTCGACACCAAGAAATGGTTTCGTCCAAAGGGGTGGTTCACAGACCGTGAAGTCAGCATTGTGGTTAATCGGGTTTTGCGCGACGACCCCTCGAAGGGTACGTTTCTGTTAGACCCTCTCCACTTTTGATTTTAATGCTCACATGCATCAGGCGACATGCACAACCGGCAAGCCATAACCCCGCGTCGTCTCTGGAACTCCCTCCGAGACTATGACATCTGGCCAATTTATCTTCTCGGACTAGTGGTTTACATCCCTATGACACCAATGACGTCCTATATCACTCTGATCCTCAAGGGTGTGGGGTTCGGCACCGTAAGCCTGCTGATCTCTACAAACTCAATATTGCATGCTAATTCAAGATCAAATAGTTCACTACGAACCTTCTTACCATCCCCTATAGTGTCGGGCACATCATCTGTCTGCTAGCCCTCACTCGTCTCAGCGACTGGCTGAAAGAGCGCTCCCTGGTGGCAATGATCCAATCCATATGGACATTACCCTGCGTTATAGCCCTCCGGTTCTGGCCTGGTACTATGACCAACGCATGGGGGACATATGCCATCGTGACCGTGCTACTCTGCTATCCCTACTGCCACGCTATCCTGGTGGGATGGTGTTCGAAGAACTCTAACAACGTGGGAACACGAACTATTTCAGCAGCATTATATAACAGTGAGTCAGCCTCTTCCACCTTAGTATATTACGAAGGACTATCTCTCATAGACTTTCATAACAGTGTGCGTCCAACTCGGCGCCATAATCGGGAATAACATCTACCGGGCGGACGATAAACCCAAATACCATCGCGGAAATTCCGCTCTCATAGGGATCAATATCCTCGCTATATTGCTCTTTATTGCCACAAAAATATACTATATCTATAGAAACAAACACAGGGAGCGCGTCTGGAATGCAATGACCGAAGAGGTTAGTGTTGTTTCATGTTGGTATAATAGTCAGCTAACTTGCCACATAGGAACGACAGGATTACTTGCAGAACACGAGAGACACGGGAAGCAAGAGGTTGGATTTCCGCTTTGCACACTAGTAGTTGCTTTATATCTATCCCATACCGTGGCAATGTAAACACCAGCCAAGCGTTGCACTGTTACACAGATCTACGGAGCAGACATGAGCCCAATCGGGTTAATCCCGAATAGTAGGCAGATGACTTGTGGGTGCCTTCATGTCCAAGTCCACAAAAGTTAAATGTGGACAAAGCGAACAACAGAACTATCATGCCCAAGTCTGTGTTACCATTATCATTATAAATTCAATGTTCTCTTTTATGTTACACAACCATCTATCTAGGACTCATACTATAAGTCAGTTACGACTGTAGCTTATGAATTGTAATTCTGACGGTTTCCACAACCTGGATCGGTAGCTCAGTGGTAGAGCGTAGGATTGCAGATCCCGAGGTCACGCGTTCGAACCGCGTTCGGTCCTTTTTTTGCTCTGTTTGCCTCGGTCCATCCATCCGCTGGAATATGAGGCAGAGGTGTATTTATGCTTTTATTCAATCTTTACCTTTTACCTTCTTATATTTAATATTGCATATTGTTTTATTTAATAGAGAGAACAATAGGGGAAGGGTGAGGTGGAATAAAGTACCATTCACTGCTAGGCATTAAATTGGGGTGATTATTTGTGCCATGTGGGAATTACGATGAGCGCATGATATAGTCATGTTAATTGTTGAAACAATGCGTCAGGTCAAACTTGAAGTAGTAAAATGCTTTACTTAGCCTAGTACTGGAATTGCAAGATCCTAGTTAAGGCCGTCAAGTACCATGGGTAGGAACATCATTATGATAAGTGTCTGCCGTATTACCGACGTGTCCCAGGAACATTAGACCCGTCTCGTTTCTGTGAGGATCCGGCCTCGCATTCATCTAAGCTTATAAGGAATGCGCATTCTACTTCTCTTAACTCAGAATCTTAGTCTTTCACCGGATAGCCTAGCGGTATTGAATTCCAGTGATTTCACTTCTGAATCGTACTAGGAGCGGGTTCTGACGGTTTCTATCCCCTCTTGACTCCTTTACTTCGAAACATCTTCATCGAGACCTCTTCTATCAACAAGTAAATCCACTGCCTTCGACAATGTCTCGAATCACGTACTTCCCCGATAGGCTCTGGCACGGGGTAACCCTAAATTTCCCGGAGAATGACCTACATTCTCTGCCTCCCTCATCGTGGACAGCAACACTGAGGATTAGCGCCGGGCTCGATACATCTGCTCAGCAAGAAGCAGAGAAAACGGGGCAGATCCCTATCGGCTACGCAACCCGAAATATCCCGCAGAATGGCCTCCATTCTCTGCCTCCTTCATCGTGGACAGTGACACATAAGATTAGCGAAAAGTCCCATGCATACACTCAGGAAGAAGCAGAGGAATGGTGTCAATTCCCTCTCGCCAACGCAAGATTCGAGTGTGAAAACGTCGAGGACTCAAACGAGAAGGCTATTCTTAGGGTGTTCATGGAAATCCCTTGTGTGGACACTAATTGTCCTGCCGCCCCCCGGGGGACTTATGGGACCCCCAATTGCGTGAGAATAGCTGTTGGTGCCCACAAGCTCCTGACCTTCCACAATGCTAAGTACTCCCCAAAACTCATTCAATACAGGGAAGAGCCGCAGACCGAGAATCGCCGTTTCTTCTTGCCAGGTGGTAACATATATTACATGATTACCAATAAGCTCCCTGGAATTCCTCTAGGTAATGGGCTCCTCAGCTACACTGAAGACGGGAGAACCTTCGAGGAAGGGCTCTTCTGGAGACTTCCTCGGGTTGAAAGGGATCGGATTCGCACCGCGTTCCAGGTCGCGTATCTGTATGTGCTTTTCATGATTCATATTAGTTGTGTTTATGTATTAACGATATCAAACAGTGAGCATATCACAAGCAAAGCAACTGCTGTTCCTTCATCCCTAAGCTGGATGCTCTGGGATAAAGTATCAGGAAATATGTAAGATCTGCAGTAGCAAGGATCTGTTTGGTTCATACTAATCTATATTTAAATAGTTATATTCAAGGCACCTTCGAACCGCTTGATCTGCGGGATATAGCGCCAACGCTCTATTATAAGTTGGATTATTACGGACCAAAGGTGCTGGATATTTGGGGCCTGGCCATAGCTCCGAAAGGAGAGGTTGATTACAACGTTCCTATAGCCGGACTCGAACAAAGGGGTTGGCTTCTTTGAACTTCAATCTACCTATCCAGCTACAGGGGCGGGAAGCCGCATCTGGTTTTTATTTTTAGGGATGTTGCTTGTCACGTTGGTGAAGGGACTTTATTTAGCAAAGGCTCCCCCCAGCGATGAGCTCGCACCTTAACGCGGTGCGGTGGCTTAATAGCCTGAGTGGAATTCGGGTGAAGCCAAGAAGAACTTACGTATTTCAGCAGCCTATTTTTATCAGTGCAGATAGTTTAGTTTGGGTCTCTAAACCAACTGAGGAGTTAGGTATAGCCTTCAATATATTAGTGTTTTCGAAAGAAAGAAAGAAAACAAATCGAGGAGTAATAATACAAAGATATCCCCTTATACAGTAGATATTGATAAGTCCTGGCCTTATCGCCTTATGTAGCACATTAGAGATAGTATCTATACGGTAAATGTTGGTTGGAAAATGGCACTCGGCTGAGGAGATTTAGCAGCTAATCTTGAGGATAATATTCAAGAAATAGTTATAAGATACTATATTCCGGGTCCGTAGTTTGTTTCGCACTGGCTAGCTACCGATGGTCAAAGATATCTGGTAGCGAAAATGCAAAGGAAAAACACCGTAAGTGAAGAGAAAGGGGATAGAAGCTTCTTGGCTATGAATTGTAAGTGGTCTAAAGATATCAGCGAGAACCCTTGGATGTGGATCTGAGGAACTGAGACTGAATTTAAGGCTGCAGCCTGGAGTCTCCAGCCTCCACTCGAAGGCAATTTCATGCTCGATCTTCATTCGTACTCGTTCCTACATCCTAATGCAGAAGAGTGAGAGTTTCTGGACCCTTAAACCGGGGAATCTAGTGCCGCCCCACATGTTTCCGATCGCTCGTTTTCGTTAATTTCTTACCCGATTAAGTTAACTGAACGACTGAAGAGTATGTAGTTATGCTCTGCGACCTAGTCGTAGGGCTGGAGTACTTCTATATAAACCATCATGCGACCTCTAGAAAAAAAACTCCGAAAGAAGTACTATCATCGGCTCAAAGACAGGGAATATCACACCATGTATAGTGGTACCAGCCTTTTCGCGACGCTTGTTCTAGCAGCCAGCGGCGTGGCCAGCGCCCTCGACTGCAAATGTGTAAGTTTTCAGACGAGTTATACATTCTTATTCTACTATATATGGTACACTAATCACCGCCATCATTATAATTACCCTGCAGTCCCCCTCCGACCCATGCTGGCCATCTACAGATCAATGGACCTCTCTCAACCAAACCGTATCCGGAAGACTTATCCGAGCGGTACCAGCAGCATCCGTCTGCTATCCTAACGAGCCCAACTATAACCCAGCAGCTTGCACGTCTGTCCTGGGCAACTGGACCACATCAAAATTTCATGCCTCAGACCCAGTCAGCGTCGATGACCCGGTCTGGTCCAACAACAGCTGCAATCCGATCTACCCTGATGGAACTAGCATCACAGGAAATGTGCATGCGGAGCAGGAAGGCTGCAGTATTGGTAACTACCCGGTCTATGTGATCAATGCCACCGATGCTAGTCACATCCAGGCTGGGCTACAGTTTGCGAAGGAGTGGAATTTGCGACTGAATATCAAAAATACCGGCCATGGGTCTGAGCGCAGTATTAATCATGGAAGTTTGTCGTATGTTTCTCATTTCAGTCTTCGATACATACTAGAATCGTTGCTAACGGGTACATAGTATCTGGACCCATCACTTGAAGAAGATCCAATTTCACGAGCACTTCCAGCCTGGCCAGTGCAGCAAGATCAACTCCACCGCGGAAACTGCGAACCAGACGAGGACGATGGCTGCTACTCTCGGGGCTGGTGTGCAGGACGGTGAACTTTTTGCCGCACTCGCTAAACACAATGCCACGGCTGTCGGCGGAACAAACATGGTAAGGAAGGAATTTTCTGGCAGAAATGAGGCAGAGCCCCTGACAGAAAATCTAGGACGTCGGAGTCGTGGGCTGGGCGACCGGTGGTGGCCATGGCCTGGCCACTGGCACATACGGCATGGGCGCAGACAACATCATCGAAGCGGAGATAGTCACCCCAGCAGGCGACCTCGTCACCGCGAACGCTTGCCAGCACGAGGACCTCTTCTGGGCTATTCGTGGAGGCGGAGGCGGCACCTACGGTGTGATTGTCTCGGTCACTGTCAAGGCGTACCCCATGCCTCTGGTAACCATGGTCAACCTTTCCCTTACCGCCAAGAACACAACCAGCGAGCATGAATGGTACCGACTCGTTGCGAAATCTCACAGTTACCTTGCTGAGCTTCAGGTGAATGGTGCTCATGGTTACTACACCATGAGCAGCTCCCCGCAGCTAAATCTGAATGGTGCTCTGCTGTTGTACAATGCGAAGAACGGCACTGCTGAGAGGCTCGTCCGTCCTTTCCAGAATTTCTTGAAGACCCAAGAGACTATTGCGAGCAGCACGGTTGCGCCAATGATGACGCTGCCTTTTTATGATGTCGTGCAGATGATGCCTGCCATTGAAACGGTCGGCAAGACGCAAGGTGTTCGGGCATCACGGTTCATCCCACGCCGGGCTGTCAAGGAAGATGTTGAACTTCTAGCCGATACATTGGAGGCCATCATGTCTCGCAAGGATCATATTGATGTAAGTAACCCTCTTATGACCCTGTCCCGTGCCCACCATAGAAAACGTTTTCTAATGAAACAATATTGGATGCAGGGCGTATCCGCTCCTTCAATCTCCGGCACCATGACTGGCAGTTCCACCCCAGTCGACAACGCTCTGAACACGGCTTGGAGAGATTCAGTCGTACACCTGATCGTCCAACAAACCTGGAATGAATCCCTTCCGTCAGCCTTGGCCGAACAAACCATCTACAATATGACGTACGGCAGGGGGTATGCCCTTCGGCAATTGGCCCCTGATACTGGATGCTATTTCAACGAGGTAGGCAAGATTCCAAAAATCAAAGTAAAGGGATATACACGGACTAAGTTTGACATATGGGGCTAACGTATTCATTGTTGTTGTTATAGGCAAACCCATTCGAGCCAGAGTGGCAGACTTCGTTCTTCGGATCGCATTATCCTCGACTCCATGCGATCAAGAGCACATATGATCCCGAGGGCTTGCTTTGGTGTCGTCATTGTGTTGGTAGTGAGGCATGGAAGGAGCAGGTGGATGGGAGGTTGTGTCGGGCGTTCTAAGATTTATCTAGTAGCCGGTGTACTAGTAGTGTAAGAATAGTAGTAGTATGAATATATAAGGAGACATCAACATAGAGAAAGGGGTTTATCACAGGAAGTTACACATCGGCAAATGAAGGAATAAGACTCTATCCTTACTTACTACGCTAGAAGAGTCAAGATAATATTCCATGCATAATTGATTATGGTGCTGGGTCTATAAAACAACATTGCTGTCAAGTTATTGGATATCAGAGGTTTTCATCAAAAGACGATCTGAAGCCTGGCCATAAAATGATCATATACTAAAATAATTATCCATTTTTCAACGATTAGTCAGTGTGGCCGAGTGGTTAAGGCGATAGACTAGAAATCTATTGGGTTCGCCCGCACAGGTTCGAGTCCTGTCGCTGACGTTTCTTTTTTCTTCTTTTTCCCCCTTCCCATTTGGTAGAATTCATCACTAGCGGAGTTGAACTAGCACTAAGGCACCGGGATTCCACAAGTTGCATACCTATTCTCCGTCTTCAGTGTCAATTTGTTTCCCTATATCTGATTGTGTTGCCAATTACTTCCTTTGGTAAATCCGTACGTGGTGTTGGATTACGAACACCGAAATCACAACTACGTCAAGTCCTTTCACAGACGTTCGATCTCTGGGAAACGTCCGCTCATCATGCATTTTGAGATACTGTGACTCGGAGGAGGAGGGGGAAGGGCGGGCACACTTGACTCTGCGGCTTTGTTCTAGACCACTCCACTGGAGCTTTCGTATCTGAGTTGTCCTGGAATTGGTGTCTCAAAAACGGTTTTGTGAACCGTGTGATGAAAAAGCGACGAATTTTAGAAATACTAATTGGCTAGAGCTTGACTGACTTCCTTATTGTTCTCATACAGCATACTTTTTTCAACCCGAGGATTTATAACCGTGTGCGATGCTCAACACCACAAAGTATAAGGGGGGCTCAGCTGAGCCATATAACGCTACAATAAAAAAACATTACACCTCAAGCCTTGAACACGAGCGGACCTAGACCATTGCTCTTCCGAACGATGTATACAGAACCATGGGTTTGAGTAACGAAGCATAGATTTAGGATTCGAAGAATACGGTCTACCCGCCGCAAGATACGATCGTGCTGCTTATTTAAACCCTACCGACATGGATACCATCTCCTTCAGATTAGTGTCAAGATTATTGTACTATTATCCTATTCACGTTTCAAATTTCGATCAGACTCACCGACACTTTGCCGTTCGCCTTTTGCATGATGTCGGGCCTTGAAGTGCTAGGCGCCATCGCTACTGTCATATCTTTGATCGACACCTCGGTCAAGATATACGACAGTGCAAAAAAAGATATTAAACTATCCGAGACGTTTAATACTGTCGGAAGACGGCTTCCAATCATCCTTGCCACGCTTGAGACATGCAAAAGTAATCTAGAGCCTGAAAAAAACGTCATGGCCGACGATGTTTGTCGCGCATTGGAGAAAATCCTGGCCTCCTGTCATGAGAAGGCCAGAAATCTGCGGGATATCTTTAAAAATACCATCCCAGGCGAGAAAGATATGTGGTATAGACGATATGTCAAAGTTTTCGAGCGTCTCGGGAAAGGAAACAAGGTCGAAGAACTCATGCTTGCCATAACCCAAGAAGTCCAAATCATAGTCAACCAACATGCTGTCAATTCGGCCACGCCACAGCAGAAGACTGAGCTTGAACGTATCGTCGAAGAGATGAGGTCTCTCCCGTCATCCATTCTAGGGGAGGAAAGTGTAGCCACGAGCTTTGTTGCCTACGGAGGAACTATGAATGTACACACAGGAGATGGGGAGCACAAAACTGTCACTGACCACGGGAGGATGTATATTGGCACAAATCAGACATTCGGTAAGGAGTAGACCCAGTATCACGATGAAACTTTGCTTTGCTGGAATCATGACCGAAGGGGAGGCTTTTCTTTTCGCGTCCCGTGGAGGTAACCTGCAGTGGGCAGGCCCTTGATTACATACATTGATTAGCTTTGCTGCTTCATGGTCACTTGGAGATTGTTTTTCCGAACTGTACCAGAAGACTCTTTCGTTCTCCCTAACCATTACTAAATAGTCACCAATCACGAACAATTGGCTGCCACAAGAATGCCAGGGTCGGAGCTTATCCAAGTTGGAGAAATTTCCAGTGGTGCGTTGAAATCTGCCACGAGTGTGCATAAAGCCATAGGCAACAAAGCACGCTTGAAACTTCTGTACGGTCCATTTTACGAGTCCATGCTGAGCTGGAAGAACAACGTCATCAAGATTCCCGACTTGCACAAGCTCCTTCAGGGACCAGTCGAACATCCTGATCGAGTCAAAGTTCTGAATGGCGAGGAAAGACACCATCCAGTTTCCCGGGATCTGGACCGTTCCAGCGCATGTTGGCTGAACCTCCTGACCGAGCTGGGATGTATCCATTCAGAGTGGCGCTCGCAACAGGAACATGATCGCAGCTATCGTTTTGCCTTGACCCAAAGTGGATTGGTAAAAGATGCCTATCGCGTTCCAGAGTACCAACACTGGCTCAAAGCAACCCTCCTACATTCCCTGACAGATGTAAATCATGAACTTGTCGCCACAGACCGGGTAGTGGCCTTTCCATTCACGAATGAGGAAGTTGCTGTACTTTGCGGCATCTTCGGTGCCGGCGTAGCCGGTTGCTATTCGGACGGAAGCTATCGCGCTCGACTGGGAAACACAACGCTGTTCATACGCACCAACTTGAATGGAATTACCATGGCTCACTTTGAGGGGAGGCTTCATGCGACTCCGGAACAGTGGAAACAGTATCGTCTCCAAGTGCTCGGTACTGATGTCTCGCCACTGCATGCATTCAAGACAGCTCTCCTAGACAAGCCGCGGAAACGATATGTGATTTTCAAAGTGATAGAGCATATAGAGCTGGCCATTCATGAAACCATTAAGATGGTCGCAGGTGGCACGTTCAACCCACGGTTTCCTCTCGCGATTGCCAATCTGAAAGGGGAACTCCGTTTGATTCTCGGAGCAATCGGAGTGGCGTTAACTATATATCCTAACGAAGCCGAAAAGGGAGAGAAGCTGTGGCTTTCATTTCTCCAAGATACGCAACGAATGTCGTTCAAAGAAAAGATAGAGCGCATAGCCATAGGACCGACTTCTAAGCTGACCCAGCGCATAAACACGTTTTTGGGTGCACTAGGGGAAGACTGGGGGACATTCAAGGTCAGATTGAAGTTGTGTACGGTAGGTGATATTCTCTACATCTTCAACGTATATGATCTCCCTACATATGGACGACGTTACGCCCTCATTTGCACCATGACCCACCAGCTCCTGTATGCAATCTCTGAGTGGTCGACTGCTACGGTTGTGGCTCCGAGCAAAGACCGAGAAGTATTTGAAGGGTGCAATTTTGGTGATCGGATTTTCTTTGCTTGAGTAGTAGGAGCGAAAACGACTTTAACTGCTACATTTAACTTATGTTTTGTGCATGACAGTATGCCGAATTCGCCATGTTAGTTGGTCTGCCCGTAGTCCCACACCTGCGGTAGCGGTGGATAGCCTCACGAGACTACTTAACGATTACCACAGCACAGGTTCTACCAACGTCGGCCAGATCGAGGGATATCCGTCGGGTATTAGTTCTCATAAGGATACAACAAACCTAGCCTATTATTTACTGCTCAGCCTGATTCTCCACTTGCGTTTCACCTCAAGGAATCGAAAGAGCCAATCAACCCCTCCGATGGCGTCAGCAACGAGCTCTCTCTCGCAACCCTTTAGCGCAGGTACACCACGCGTCGCCATCCATGGCCCCTCACTATCAACCCATTGACCAATAATTGAATCTACAACGTATACTGACCCCGTAGTATACCTCCGCTCCTACAGAGCACTCATGTCTATTGCCCCTCATCGTCGCATTCACATAACAGTAGCACTCCCCCAGACCGGAAGTTCCATCTCCCCTCGAAACTTATATCCCCCAACCCCTTCTCCTCCCCATGAACAAACAAACAGACACACTCCATTATAAACCTCAACCAGAAATGACAATTAGATTCCTCCAATCCACATCACCCACACCATCACCCACCATGCCTCCCGCACCCCGCCCCAACATCCTCTTCATAATGGCCGACGACCACGCCTCTAAAGCCATAAGCGCCTACAACACCAACATCAACCACACCCCCAACATCGACCGCCTCTACCATGACGGCATGAAATTCAACCACTGCTACGTGACCAACTCCATCTGTACGCCCAGCCGCGCAACAATCCTCACAGGCACCCACAACCACGTGAACGGGGTCATGACATTGGACAGTAAGATCAACAAGCACCTGCCCAATGTCGCAAAGCACCTGCGCACCGGCGGCTATCAGACCGCCATGATCGGCAAGTGGCATCTAGGCGAGGGAGAGGACCATGAACCCTCAGGGTTTGATTATTGGAGCGTGGTACCAGGACAGGGGAGGTATTTTGATCCGGAGTTTATTGAGATGGGTGGAAAGAAGGTCGTCGAGCCAGGCTATGCGACGGATGTGATTACGGATAAGTGTTTGGGGTGGTTGAAGGAGAGGAACAATGGGGTTGGGGAGAAGAAGCCGTTTTTCCTCATGTGTCATCACAAAGCACCGCATCGGTCGTGGGAGTGTCATCCCGCTCATCGGGGATTGTATCAGGAGGATGTGGTGTTGCCGGATACGTTTGACGATGATTATAAGAACCGGGCGAAGGCCGCAGAAGTTGCTAAGATGCGGATTGAGAGTGATATCACGTACTTTGATTTGGGGCTGGTGCAGCCTGAGGGAGGTGCAGAAGTTGGGGAGCTGTTTGGGAGCCGGTCGACTGATAGGAAGATTCCGAATGTTTCTGATGCGGATATCGAGGGGTTTCGGTTGATTGATAAGGACACGGCGGAGGTGTTTACATTCAAGAGTAATGAGGAGCTGCGCCGGTTCAAGTATCAGCGGTATTTGAAGAGGTACTTGCGGACGATTCACTCGATTGATGAGAATGTGGGAAGGTTGTTGGATTATCTGGATGAGGAGGGGTTAGCGGAGAACACGGTGGTTATTTATACCTCCGACCAGGGATTCTTCCTGGGTGAGCATGGCTGGTTCGACAAGCGGTTCATGTATGAGGAGTCATTCCAGATGCCGTTCCTTATCCGGTACCCCAAGCTCATCAAGCCGGGCTCGGTTTGCGATGATATTATCTCCAATGTGGACTTTGCGGCGACTTGGTTGGATCTTGCTGGCCTGCGGATTCCCTCGTACATGCAGGGGGTGTCGTTTGCTCCGCTGCTCAAGGGGGAGACGCCTGCGGATTGGAAGCAGGTCGCGTACCATCGGTATTGGATGCATCGGGATCCTATTCATAATGCGTATGCTCATTATGGGGTCCGCAATCAGCGGTATAAGCTGATTTATTGGTATGCGGAGGGTTTTGACCTACCGGGAACGCAGGAGGGTGGGCAGCCGAAGGAGTGGGAGCTGTTTGATTGTGAGAAGGATCCTCTTGAGCTGTTTAATGTGTATAAGGACGCGAAGTATGCGGATGTGGTGGTTGAGTTAACGAAGCTGTTGGATGAAACGATGCTGGAGATTGGAGACACTCCGGTGCATTGATGGATGTATGTATGGTATAGTTAGGGGATTAGAATATATCTAGATAGAGCAAGAAAGGTGCCTATATTAGAGCTACTGAGACGGTGGCAAGTTAGACTGCAGTAGGAAGTTAGCAGGAAGTGATAATAGAGTGAGCTTAAGATTGAGCCATGTATAGGACTCTATAGTACTAACTGTATAGTGGAAAATGACCATAGAATTCCATAGTAGAGTGGTGCCTAGTCCGAAGAACCAATCAGTATGATGGCATCCCTTTCTCAGAATATCCTAGAACATCTCAACCAGTAGTGTTCGAAAGAAAGACTAAATGAGATGGGTAAGTGGCAAAATATGTCGAAGAACTAACCGCTAGACCAAAATCGATAAACCGCTCTTGGCTAGCTAGGCGACGGAGAGATATGTGTCCCAACAAAATACATTCGGCTACTACACATATTGCGGTGTCCATTAGTGTGTTATTCCAACTCCTCGTTACGTCGTGGCCCCCATCGGAGCTGCTCCTTTTGCTCAAAGTTGATAGTAGCCCTCGTGGTTGCCGCCTTCTATTGAGTCGTACACTTCCAATTAGACGACGATATATTGGCAGGGTGTGAGCGATTGAATATCTCAAGGCAAGGAAACACACTGCTGTCGCCTTCAAGCCAAGCACATAGTTGTGAAAAGCGGGATTCGTCCTCGTACCATTCGTAGGTACATTAGAGTAAGGCACCGTTAAGCTAGGGTACATCTTCTGGATTTTGTCTAAGGGGTCCAGGATCATACCACCATCAGATAACCAGACCAGTCCCACCATAGCCAAGACTTTGACAACTTAGGCAGACACGAGTACGCGCCAGCTAAGTCTTGGTATGTAGCCAACAAGTTGCACAATTCACCGCCGTTTGCTCTGTGCTGAAGTTGACTATGTTAAGGGTCAGAGTTGAGGTTTTGATTCGCATGCAGGCGTATAAGAGATCTAGTTCCGAGCGAGCAACCTAAGCAAATCACTAAAGGCAGAAAGGCAGTTCGAGGTTGAATATGAAGTAATTTCGGGTTCAACTGTACCATGGACATTTTCAGATCTCATATTTTCGAACACGAAATACGAGAAAAATGCATATTACCCCCTCCAACGCGGATGCACCGGACCAGCCCAAGCCCGAGACCGAGTTGAGTGCCTCCGTAGCCGACAATTTTGAACGGGGCATGGTACACACCCCCTAGAAAATCCCGGAAGCAGATGGCTTGCGAATCCCGCTTTGCCAAGAAAGACAGATAAGTTAAGCTCATTTATGGGTGGATAATTGTGCTTGACTCTGAGAATAGTCTTGGAATCCCGCGAATACCACCAGCCTTGAATCTCTTAGCCCTCTTGGATATGCTCCACTCTAGCGTTCCTCAACACCCATGAGAACCTCTGAATCATGCCCTCTGCTTCGTGGAAAATTATTCGTTGATAAACTCCGTGTCTAAAGCAGTTTGTCCTTGCAGGGCCATGGCCCTACAGGATGATCGACATGGCTGCTTCGCTTGGGCGAAAAGGCGCGAACCAGTGATGCAGCATGTATTAGCTACGGTCGTATAATGATGCTCGACAGAGTGCAGTGATTAGCTCCAACAAAACGAATCATATCAATTAACCGGCGGTTGAAACCGCCCGGAGTTCGAAAACACTTAATATCAGCGAGTTTCTTGGCAGACAGAAGTCCAGTCTAGAGCTGACCTCGACACGGGTAACATTTATGTGACAAATGAACTGATATTATGGAGCAGGTATTGATTAGAATGCTATGGACAGCATCACTTTCTCAACCAGTGTGATCCCCTGGAAGTACAATGGGGTTGAAGTTTCACACTTTCTTGGATTCAGGTTAGGGTTGGTGCCGACCCACTGCGGGCCCGGAAGATGAAGAAATTGAAGGCGAGAATAGAACGATTCCTGCGACGCCACCATATCATCCAATCGCATTACCCCATGGGCATCTAAGACAAAAGGTGGTCGGCTATCGAAGAAGCTGGCATGATCGCATAACTATCGGAATTCGGAAGAATGTCTGCGTTCGTGCGCACAACGACGTTCCTAAAATTTATCCGATGATCAGCCGAGGAACCGGGGTCGAACCCCTGAAAGGAATCTCGCCGAAAGGATCAATCATATTGATTCGCGGACCCTGTAAAGTGCCCTAAAGGGTCTTTGCCAGAGTCTCGATAGTGGGATCGGCACTGGCAGTTTCTAGTCTCGTCAATGCGGCCATTTCCGACCGATCCGTAGTGCTGGTGGGTCCCAAAGCAGTCTATATCGATATCATCACCAAATTCCAAGGACCATGGGATGACGAGTATGCATTGGCACTGAGAATTGCCGAGATCATGCCCCCGTCCTGGGAGTGCATCCATCAAGCATGTTGCGACAGAGTGAAACAGCGTGGATAAGCCGGATGGGGCAGATGGAGGAAGAGAGCGAGACACGGCATCAGCAGTGGAGATGCCGAGAAGTGCCGAGAGCCGCCGATGCTTCGACCTTCAGCCCAAGCGTCAATCCATGCCTTCTTGGGACGGGGTTGGCCGGACTGTAAGCCCGTTAGCGTCTGAGATACGCCGGATGACACGAACCTTGGTGCTTACCAATGCTGTGATGCATGCAGTGCCGGCGGTATCCCTGGCTGAAGCGCCCATCGCCGTTAGAGATTGATACCCGGGTGGATCGGAGGGTCCCCTTGGTCTTTCCACCAATAATGGAGGTATCTCACTGCTTTGTTCAGGAACAGAAGCTTAGCATGGACCAGTCTTTTACGTATAAAACTCTCCAGGACTTCCGTCGTT